TGCTAAATTTAAAATTTGAGAGAGGAGTAAAAAGTGAACTCTCCAATGATCTTTCATTTGGGCTCTCAAATATTGAGAATATCAAATTTCCTCTAACATATAAGAGCTGCCAATTTTTTTGGCAAGCCTTCTTTTTTTGTATCAACACGCGCGCGCACACACATATGTAATCTTAATCCAAAAACTGTTTCAATAAAAAGATATAATCTCAATCCAAAAGCTCCCCCACGTATGATTTCAACCCATATTTGTCTATATATATATATATATTTAAAAAAGATCATAAAAAATTTCAAGAATTACAGACCTTGATTAGTTGAACATATGTTGCATTTGGTATGAAGGGATCACCCACAATTCTTCCATGACCTTTTCTTATATGAAGTAACATACTCTTGTTGTGGATGACAGAAATGGTGAATGTAATTAATTTAACACAAGAAAAAAGAAAAAAGAAAAAAGAAAAATGTTGGGTTGATGTGATATGGGGGGAAACTAATAAATAAATAAAGTTAAATGATCTACTCGTGTGGCATGCAAGCGAGATGTCGGACTAAATTTTAAATGTATTTCTAAGCTAAAATTTTAAATATCAGAATAAATGGTGCGTATATATATACCGAAAAGAAATATATAAATATATATATATAAAGTTGGCAAAGTGTTCAACTTCACCAATATACTACGGTATTGTTAATAATTTTATACTACAAATAGGTTAAAGAAGATTTTCTCTCCCCTTAAAAAAATTAAAATTATTCAGGATTCATATTGTTAATTTTTTTTTTTAATAAATTCTACAAAAGTTATATTCATAATGAAATTCAAAATGTGATCCGAATAGGTCAAAGTTCAATTTCATTTCATTTTGAAATCCCTATTTTTCCTGAATTGAAGAAAATTTATTAATTTAACAGTTCATTTGGGAATAGGGTTAAAAATAAACATTTTGGTTGGGAGAAAAAAAAGAAAAAGAAAAAGAAAAAGAAGAAGACGGTGAGATGCATTTCCCTTTGAAGTTGAAGAGAATATTATTTAGTAATTTTTTATTTAAAGAAATTTAAAAATAGTCAATAGCTACTTTATTTTGTTCACTCCATTTCATAAAAATAAAAAATAAAAATAAAAATAAAAATAAAATGCAACATAAATAAATAAATAAAATGACAAATGAAATTATATCATCTTGCTTAACTATAAATGTTTTTCTAACACATTTTTTTGACAAATTTTAAGATAAATCACTTGTAAAAAATGTCTCTTGCATACTATATAAATGTAGGTGGAGAAGTGTCGAATCAATTACAGCTGCATTAATTGGAGAGCTTAGCCGACCGAGAAGTGCAATTACCTCTAAGTTTTTATTTATTTTTTATTTCTTATTCCTCACATATTTTTCCATCTCTCTCATTACGAGCACACAACACACACACTCTCTCTCTCTTCCCCACTTCATCTCAAATCCATCTAAAGATTGTAAACCCAATAAGAGAATTTGTAGGGGACAAGGCATTAGACTAAATTTTTCTAAATCAGGTTTTATTATTCTTTTATTTATATTTTATGTTTTTGTTTTATTAATTTTTGTTATTATAAAAATTGTATATTTTATTTGTGAGTTGTAATTATTTTTACTTATATTGTTAAATATTAAACTATTTTTTTTTTTAATCCATATCTCTCATGTTTTTTCTTTCTTCTCTCTTTGTTTCACTGTTTTTTTATTTTATTTTACTCCTCTCCTCTTTTCAGCAGGCAATACAGTGTATTAATATTTAAACTACACAAATTTTTTAAACTCAATTTAATTTTTATCTAACACATAATTGGTATTGAAAAATGATAAAATTTTATATCTACTCTTACTTTTTCTATAATTATCTACTCTCTTTTCTTTTTTATTGAACTCCTATTTTTTGTTTCTTTATTATTAGTTTTTATGCTACTCTTACTTTTTCTCTAATTACCTACTCTTTTTTAAAATGAGATTAATCAAAGAGTATTAATTAAGGGAATAACATTATAGGGTCAAGAACAGAAAACACCCATAAAATATGTTTACAGTACTCATCACACTACTCATGTGCAAAAAACATTCTTAAATTTCAATTTGGTGGAAATAGGTACCTCTGACAAATTTAAACCCTAAATTAACTAAATTACTGTTACTAAACCATTTTATAAAATATATAAAAATTAATAAATTTGTAAAACATTGGAGGATGCCCCTCTCGTGCAAAAAAACGCCCTTAAAGTTTCAATACGGTGTAAATAGTTCTTTAAACCCTAAGTTGACTAAATTACACTTACTAAACTATTTTATAAAATGACCGAAAATGACACTATTGGAGGATGTGGCAATGGACAAGTAAAGATAAAAATATAAAATAAAAATAGAAAAAAAAATACAAACAAAAGAAAACAAAAAATTTCCAACCTTCGAAAATCAGTGCACACTGATATTGAGATTTTTTTTTTTTTGTTTAACAGCGTTGGTACAAAAAATAAAGAAAAAAAAATAGTAGAAAAGAGTAAACTGGAATCTCAACAAATTCACATCTTTGTTTTACAAATTCTCAAAGTTTTTTTAAAAAAAAAAAAAAAAATGTTTAGGGATATATATAGAGAAAAAAGTTTCAAAATAATATATATATATATATAAGGTAATGTGCACATAACATTCCTATATTATGAGATTAAGTAGCATATATACTCTCTTGGGTATTTTCGGAAGAGTAAAAGGGCAAAACGGATATTACAACACTAGTTTATCTTAAATAGAGTATTTTTCCACAATGTAAAAAGATTAAGAGTGTTTTTTACAATCTTTTTTAAATAAGGGGTAAAAATGCTACGTTGAGTATACTTTAGAATTATTTTTTGCACTTGTCCTTAACGTTATACATGAGATCGAATTAAACATTTACTTGAGAATTTAATAATCAAATCCAAAGAAAGCTAGTATAGTATGAAATCCATGTGGTAGAGATCGAATAACTAAGAAATTAAAGCCAATGTAAAAGAAGAAATAAATTAACAAGTTGTTTTTAGTACTCAACAAGATTATAGAGAAAATGCACTGTATATATAATCGACAACGATATATATATATATATATAATTGATATGATGGATAGAGATTTACTCACATTTTTTGCTAAAAGAATTAACAAATTGTCCTAGGGAACATTTGGAGTGACAAAGTAATCACAAATATATATTTTTTTCTCGAAAAAAAAAATCCGCCATTATTGAGATTACTTATTCCTCCAAAGCTTCGACCTCGCGGAACTGGAGAAAAATATATCCTATCCATCTATATCTGCAATCAATTCTCTCTCTCTCTCTCTTCCTCTTCTTTTATTTTTATTTATTTTTATTATTATTTTTATTTTTATATAAAATTGAAGACAAAAATAAGGCATGACCAATATATCAAGGAACTGGTCTGCACTCGGCATGAAGAAAAACTATAAATTTGTAAGTGATTACACTGACGGGTCTATTAGACTATTATAAAAAATATCTGGTTACCATATGTAACCAGAGTTACTATTCCGGTAAGAAGAAAACGATATCATCTTGGATCAAGGAGAATCTCGTTTCAACAACAACTACCATTAATGCTTCTATAAAAGGGATGATGGGTCAACCTCTTGTCCTGGAAAGTTTTGTTGAGCCGGTGGAACAAGGTGTTGCAAGAGCGTTGCATTTTGTTGGATCAACTGGTTCATACCCTGACTCAGAGTTTGAACCTGTACACATATATTTTGATATACGCGTAATGCATGAAACTTACCCGGTTAACAGCGATGATGAAACAACGGCTAGCGGTCGGGCGGGACTTTCTAGCAATTTTACCGGATTGAGCAACTGTACCCTTACTTTTGGCCATGCAATCCATGAACTGTTCCCTTTCTTTTAGAGAAAGCCAGATTGTAAAGGGACAATGCTTTCTTATATAAAAGGACATTTACATGCACAAAAGCATACCTAAGAGTTACAAAAGACTGCTATAACAATACAGTTATTTTGTCATTAAACAAAAACATAATGCCTAAAACATATCACATGTCAAACGGTTCCTTAACTATAATGTTATATTTGGAAGCACGAATTTGGTACTTTAGATTTGTTATTGAAAAAAGTTTAGTTCAAATTTTGTATTAGATTTTCTCAAAATCTAAGACTTCAATTCAGTCCTACCAAATATAACAGAAATGTTTATCTAACACATCTGGAGATAAATTTTACCAGATATTATGAAATGTTAAGTTCTATCTAAAATCTTAATATAAATCACTTATAAAAATATTAAAGGTCTGATGCATATTATTTATTTACTCCCTCTCCCATTTTAGTAGTGCATTTTTTTAATTTTGAGTTGTCCCAAAATATTTGTCCCTGTTGAAAAGTAAAGCCAAATAAATACAATATTTCTATCATTATCCTTTTAATTTTTCAAAAATCCTTCACCTTTGTAATATACATATTTAAAATTGAAAGGACAATTTGATAATTTTAAATAGTAACGAGGACCTTTAAAAAGTCAAAGCAAATATTACTAATTCACTATCTTATTTTTAGATTTCTCAAATTATATATTCATTTTAAAAAGTAAAAAAAATTGAGCCTTATCACTGTATATATTTTTTAAAAATTTCATACTTTGATTATATCAATCTAAATTAAAAAAAATAAATTGATAATTTTAAAAAACAACAATACATTAATTGCATCACCCTCTAAAAACTCCAATATCTAAACATGACAGCTAATATGACCATACAAAACTTTTATCTCTAATTTTTTGTTGATATATATCAAAAGTCAAAAGTCAGTCAGTCCCTTTTTTAAAAAAAAATTAGATAAATGAATAAAAATTAAAATCAAAAGTAAGTCGGTCCTTTAAAAACTTAAAAATTACAGGCTGGCCTTACAAAACCCATCATAATGAATCCTAACGGTCACTTTTCTTTTCAAACCCAAGAGAGTCTTGGATATTTCTCGACCGTTTTATTGCCTTTTTCTTCAATCTTCTTTCATAATCCGACGCTCCTCTCACTCTCTCAATAGAAATGGAGACCCTTTAACCATATCTTCATCGTCCTCCTTCGTTGGACCAAAACTGTGTTATCTGAAACCAAGAAGAAGAAATCCCTAATGGGTTGTTTTCTCGTTTGTTTTGGTTCGTCAAAGGATAAGAAACGCCGAAAACAGAGGAACAAGATCCTCCTTCGAGACCAAGTAAGTTCACGTTTAATCTGAAATAACATTAGTTCTCTACTTCTTTTACCCCTGTTTGTTTGCCAAGAAAACAGAAGAAAAGAAAATAAAGTTTGGAGTCTTTTGGAAGTCTGTTCTTTCTAATGAATCAACTCAACAACCCAACATAGCAGTTGTTTTAGGTTCATTTAACCTGGGTTTGTCTTTGTTATTTCCTCAGGTCCTAATTTATGAAATTTCTAGCCTTAATAAAATTTCTTTTCTTTTGGGACATTTTCTCAGCAACCAACCAACCAGAGCTTAAGTTTTTTAATTTTGTAGTCTGAATCAATTAAATTCTGAATTTTTGTCACAGAGACATGATACGGTCTCTTCAGAGCAGGACATCTCAGAAGAAGCCATCAATCCGGTTTCCGAATTGCGGTTAGTAATCGATTTGCATCTGTTATAATTTCCCCTTCAAATTTAATTTTTCTTGGGTTATTAAGCTCTGATGCTTCTTGATTTGTGTATCTTTATTATTTGTGTATTTTATTTTTTTCAGAAACAAAAAAATCACCTTTCTTTCCTTGTTTTCTTTTATTATGAAGTGAAATTTTATGGATTTTTTAATCACAGAGATAACCCTGAGGAACAATTGAGCTTGAGTACTAGGAAGAGAGTTACATTTGATTCAGCTGTCAAAACCTATGAACCTGTTTCAGTCCATGAAAGTAGGGATTTTGGAGTGGACAGTGACAAAGCTAGTGAGAAGGAAAACGGGGAAAATTATTCAAAATACAGCCAATCCCATTCTCTCTCCGAGGATGATTCAGTCACTTCAAGCACGGGATCTTACCCTCCAAATCATAGGTACCAGAACTGCAGGGACAGTGATGATGAAGTTGAAGAACTAGATGACGAGAACAGTGATTTAGATGATGAGGAACTCGGAGAATACGAGGATTGTGATGAAGATGGTGATGGTGATATTAGAATTGTAGGTGGAGAAGTGTGGTCTGAGTCAATTCCAGCTGTATCAATGGAGTCGAGGACAGAACTGGAGAGTCCAATGACAGTTTCTGGCTTGGGGGAGCGAGAAGTGAAATCACTGGGTTTGCCACGAAAGGCAAGAGATAGGAGTGTCTATGTTCATCCTGTGCTCAACCCAGTAGAGAACCTCACTCAGTGGAAAGCTGTGAAGTCAAAAGGTACTCCACCATTGAAGTCAAATAAGGAGAATTGCACAACAGACCAAGAAGCAGTGCCTATTCCATTTAGTTCAGAACCAAGTTTTAAGGAGGGTTTCAAGTCCAAATCCAAACAGTCCAAGAATTTGAATCGAGAAATAGCCGTTGATACTAGTCTTTCGAATTGGTTGGTATCTCCTGAAACCGCCCCCACCAAGAGCACTAGCTCCACTGGGCTTGAAACCATTACCTTTGAGAAAAGCATATCCCAAGGATCAAATTCTCCGTGGAGCATAGAAGATAGACCAATTTTAGGAGCACTGACGGTTGAGGAGTTGAGACAGTTTTCAGCATCATCGTCGCCAAGGAGGTCACCAAGTCGAAGCCCTGATGAAATGCCCATAATAGGTACAGTGGGGACCTACTGGAATCACACAGGAGGCCAAGCCAAAAATTCTGGTTCAGTCTCTGCCTACAAAGGCAAAACAAACACAACCAGCAAGTACAGAGAGGTATTTGTGAAATGAGATTTTGCAAGTTATTTTTGCTTTAGGTTAATTGGTGGTGTTAATAAGGTGGTGGTGTTGCAGGCTTGCAGGATAAGAGAGTGAACCATTTGGAGACGAGGCTGGAGAGAGCTTTGAATAGAGGTGCTGCTGAAGCTTAATCATCTACTCATCTTCCCATTGCAGCTTGTGGAGATGATTGTGGGGTGTTTTTATTTATATTGATATACATATACATAAATATTTCATGTTTGTTTTCTGCATATTCCATTAATTATTTCTGTTTGTCATTATGTTGTGAATTCGGTGTGATTTGAAACTGTTTGTTTGTTGTATTTATTTATTATTTTAATATGATGGTTCATTGAATTTATTGATTTACTTTTTGTTGCCACATTTCTTCCTCAATTCTATTGGTTTATTGACTATGGTTTTCGAGCACCTTCATGTTTTCACCATTAGAAGCAGAGAAGGCACCAAAGAAATTGAAAATAGGCCACACCTTATTCCCTTGCTTCCCTTAAATTTTATTTAGGACATGCTTGATGGGTAACCTCATAACGTTTTCTAGTCAATACTTGATCATTGATTAGTATGGATTGATAAAACCCAATGTTTTTTGCAAAATTAAAATTAGAGTTGAAGTTTTTCATACAGTTAGTTTCAGGTATAGAGCTGGAATCAGAAAGCAGAATGGGCTTTATACCTCTCATAGAACCATGGCTTCACATTTGCTTGTAATATTCAACTTTAGCTTAAACTTCCTCATACCAATTGTCATTTTCATTCTGTAATTTGTTTCAGGCAACAACAAAAGGTCAGATACTGCAAGTTGCTACAATGTGAAGGATAAAAAGAAAAATGCCAAAAAGAAACCATTGCATCAACAGATGATTATATAGATTCATCATATAGTTACAGAATTTCCTTGCCCTCGTAAATATATTATTACATGTGAAGAACTGTGATAGAAAATTGAAGAATGGTAATCTAGCAAAGTTGTGGAAAAGGGGAGGCAAAGTACTGGTCTCCAAATAGTCATGCTAGGGAGAGTCAGTTCATTCTCTATTTCAAGCAAATGCTGATAAATTGGGATATAGATGCACATATGCATGTGAAACAAGTCCAAATTTCTAAATCTGATACTTGTCTTTTGCTTCACTGCACGCACAATAAAAATGCATTAGCTAAACAGTTGTATGTTGCCTACCAAATTGAAGTAACAAGTGAATGAATAGTTATGGAGTCAGAATTTTAAACCAAACATTTTTCATCACATTTGAGCTGATTTGATTGCATCACTCAACATCCGATGCTTCATATGTATATTTTTTGGGTACTTTGTATATTTATTTTAATTCAATAAATGGCTACATGAACTATATAATGGCATTTTTATGTGATTATGTAGTCAGGTTTCCAAGCATGACAACGCAAATTCTGTCTGTCATACCATCCCTACCAACACTCTCAATTAATGAAAAAGCACTTGAGTTCGGTTCTAATTGCAGTCACTTTAGTGAAACAATAATAATAGTAAAATTTCATTACACATACAAACTAATTAGTGTTGTCTATCTTCATATAATATAGAATTAATCACTACAGCAATCAGTGCCTCACAAATAGTCTAAAAGTTTGTTTTTTAGACTAAATTATCTACAAAACTAAACCTCTTCTGAAGCAGTGAAAACAATAATTTCGAATGTGGGATTTCAAAATTTTCCGAGTTGACAAACGAATGAAAATCATCTCATCATCTCAAGATCATAAAAATGGGTGAGTAAATTCCAGATTGTAATCGTGCTATTTGTAAATTTTCAAATGTCAGGTCACAAGGAATTAAACGTCTAGAATTATATTTAAATGTGTTTGGTAATTATTAAAAGTGTTTTTAGTGTTATGAAATTTAGCTTAGTACTTAGCATAGCGTTTGAATAATGCTATAATTTGATTACTAAATTTAGCTTAGTACTTAGTACATTGTTTGAATGTTTTCAAAATAGTGGCAATTTTTTTTTTTGACAACTCTACTAATAAAAATGTTTTTATTTTTAATTTTAATTTTATTCCAACAACAATTCCAAACTGATTAAAAAGAACAAATTTCGGTACAATTTTTGGGTCATATGTGATTTGTTTGGCCTTTAAAATCTCGGTAGAAGGAAGAATTTCTATATTATTATTGTATTTATTCTGTGTAAAAAGGGATCATGAAGTAGAAGGCCTAGGGTAAAAAATCAGAACTCGTTTTCAAAAAAAAAAAAAAAACTGTGAAGTATATCTGCTCGTGTAATTTTCGTACTTGAAATAGAAGGCCTAGGGTTAAAGAAGTGCCTTCAAAGACCATGGGTCGGTGAATTTCTTGCCCCAAAACAAAAAACAAAAAAATAAAAATTTCTGCCCCTCTTGTGTACCCTTCCAATTTGTTAAAGATTGCAGACGTGAACAAATACCTCTCTAAATCTAAAAGAGTCTCTCTACTCCATGGTTAGTCTTCCCGCCATAATCAGTCTCTGCTACTTTCTTTGGTTCTTCTTTTCCGTTTGTAGCATAACCTGTGCTCAATCTATTCATCAAATTGCATGAAAGAAGAGCCAAAAAAAAAAGAAAAGATTTTTGCATTTTCTCCCCTTATTTTGTTTGCTTTGGGTTATTTATGGATTAAATTGGCGTTTCAGGTTGCAATTCTGATATGGGTTTCTTAACCTTTACAAGAATTGTAAAGTTTTAATTCTATCAAAGTTAATAGATTACTAATTTGAATTGTTGCTCTGCTTGGTTGCTGAGAACCCAGAAGGAAAAAAAAATTTCAATGTAGATATTGCAAGTTTTATCTTCTTTTCCTTAGTTTTCTTGGAACCCAAACAGAAATCTTGTTCTTCTTGTCAGCTTTCCAGAGCTCCTCTGTTTTTCGACTGTCTGTACAAAATTTATGGTTCATCCTTGAAAAGGAAAAAAACAGAGATTATGAAAGCAACCTTATATCAAGTGAGCCACACTCTATTTGTATTGCTCTTCTTTTAAACATATTGTTTCTTGTGATTATACAACTTTAATCAATGTGCCTTTCTTCTATATTTACAAATTCTAATTGCTGAAATCTTTATAAGATGCATATATATATAGATTTTCACTATATATTGCCATTTATGCACGCACTTCTGTTTAGTGAAAGACCAAGGCCATGCGGGTGCCAGGAACTTCACTGGTTGGTCTTGTCAAGTTAAGAGAATTGGCCCTGTGTTCTTGCTTGGAAGCACTGTGATCCCATGTGTATTGGTGTATACATATGCACTACACTTGTGTATTTGTGTATATATCTGGTTATATTTATACATATGGCTATTGTTTAGGCATACATTTTTGGAGGTAACAAAGAGATATGAGCAACTTATTTTACTCAGACAATGTTGGAAATTTATACATAACCAAAAGCTAACTTATTTTGCTGATATTCTCAGACGCCGCTGGAAATTTATTCATAACCAAAAGCTCCTAATGGTGGCTACCCAAAAATGTTTCCATTAAATTCTGCAATGTGATCATGTCAAAAGGTGCAGAGAGAGGCATACATGTGCCTGCTGAAAGTTCACTAGATACTCGATGCATGGTGGGTCGAGACATAGGATTCTCACGAATGCATGACAAAGCTATAGTCAGTGCCAAGACCAGATCTTGCAGAATGGGAGCAGATGGAGGTGTTAGCCGTTTATCCAGTACATCTGCAAGGAGCAAATCATATCTTCCAGATTGCAGACGTGAGAGGAGTTCGCCAGGGTGCTTCCCCATTACTAGTTCTAATGTAACAACTCCGAAACTGTACACATCACATTTCTCTGTCACCTTCATCGTGGTAGCAAGTTCTGTCAAAAGGGAATACTTAGAACAAAACAAATGGACTGAAATCTTTTGTTTACACCAACATTTTGCGGGAGTTCAAAATCATGGTTTGGCTATGATTAAACCTTGTAGATGATAATTTCTAGTTATGCAACTAGAATTGGAGCAGCATAATACTTGTTCAAAAATTGCTCTGACCTTTTAGAAAGCAAAAATCTAAAACAAGCTGATAATGTATTATGCAGGCCTCAGAATGGACATACCTGGTGCTATGTAACCGTATGAACCAACTGGAACTGTCCGGTAAGACTCGCCTTCTCTCAGCAACCTTGCTATCCCAAAGTCAGAGATCTTAGGCTCATGCTCTGAATCCAATAAAATGTTATTCGCTGATATGTCCCGGTGCACAACAGGGGGTGTGCAATCATGGTGCAAATAAGAAAGAGCGTGTGCCACCCCGCTGATGATCTTTAATCTCAAATTCCAGTTCAAAAGCTTGGCCTCATTCTCTTCATACAACAACTTTGCCAAACTGCCTTTCTCTATGTACTCGTACATGAAGAACATGGACTCTTTAATTGAACCGAACCCAAAAAGTTTTACAATGTTCCGATGCCTAATTTCAGTCAATGCTAGCAATTCTGAGTTGAAGTTCTTCTTCTGGTAGTCTTCAGGGAACTCATTTTCCTCACATGGGTGTAGACGCTTTACAGCAAAGACATCTCCGGTTGGAAGCATTGTTCTGTACACAGACCCTTGTCCACCCCTTCCTATGCAGCACTTGTCATTGAAATTCTCTGTTGCCGTAACTATGTCCTTGTACTCTATTCTCATTTTGTAGTTCCACACAGAGAACGACCATTTGTATCCGGAGTCCTTTTGCTCTACATCTAGGTCAGATCTGGGATTCCGATGCATGATGAAGATTATGAACAAAACTAGTAAAATTGCAGAAACTGCTATTGGAATGACTATGGAAATTATCAGCTTCCATCTGATGCGTTTGTCATGCTTTCCGGATGAAGTGTCTCTATTGCAAGGACTCAACCCTTGTCCCCTTTCACCACACAAATTGGGATTGCCTGCCACTTCCTCAGGAGTAGCTTGCTGGAAGGCTCTAGTGTCTGGCAAGGGACCTTCAAGATTGTTATACGACACATCAACATGTTGAAGGCTTTTAAGATCTTGAAAAGAGGAAGGTATTGAACCAGAGAAGTAATTATGTGAAAGATTCAGGATTTCCAATGATCCTAAATTTCCGAGTTGTGTGGGTATATCTCCAGTGATTGAATTTTGACTGAGGTCTAAGAGGGACTGCAAAGCCACTAGATTCCCGAGCTGGTATGGAAGCGTCCCATTTAATTTGTTATTACTCAGTTTCAATAATATGAGTGCACTGCAATTTCCAAGCGACGCTGGTACGGGGCCACTTAGAAGGTTTGCTGACAAATCCAACTGTTGTAGCCATGACAATGTTCCAGTCTCTGCTGGTATTGTTTCTGAGAGCTGATTATAACTCAAATTGAGCTTATACAAAATTGAAGATGAACTGAACATCCCCCTTGGAATCTTCCCCATCAGTCCGTTATCGGAAAGGTCGAAACTCTGCAGAAATGCCAACTTTTGGAGCTCCTGTGGGATTTCACCTTGTATCTGATTCTTAGATATGCTGAAGTAAGCAAGCTTTGTACACTCTGCCCAGTTTGATGACAGCATACCCGAAAGCTGGTTTTCTCCCAAGTCAATGTATTCAAGATCTGGGTATACCCCGAATGCATTCGTGATATCTCCATCAAGAAGATTCTGTTCAAGCCGGACTCTCTTTAGTCCTGTGCAATTTTTCAGGCTCTCAGGGATTGGTCCCACTAGTTGATTTTGGTTGGCTGTTAAGTAGATGAGATTCCCACCTCTACAAATTCCTGGAGGAATCTTGCCTGAGAAACCATTGTATGAGAAGCTCACATTTGTCAAAGAAATGGGGCCAAAATCTTCAGGAATGCTTCCTGAGATGTTGTTGAATGCAACATAGAATATTGCAATATTTTTCAATTGGGTTATTGATGATGGCAAGGTTCCTTGCAGTTTGTTTAGACTGAAGTCTAGATATTCTAAGCTTTTCATGTAACCTGTTTCTGGAGGAATGGTCCCATTCAGATGGTTGTTAGAGAGATTTATTCTCTTGAGACTTAATAAATTTCTGATGGTTGAAGGTATGGAACCAGTAAAAAAATTGTTGGTCAATTGAAGCGCCAACAAATTTGACAAGTTTCCTATCTCCTGTGGTATGGGACCTGAAAAATTGTTCTGAAATAGGAACAAATATTGGAGCTTATGGAGGGATCCAATTTCAGATGGAATAGTTCCAGAGAGATTATTGATCTGCAGTTGCAAGGAAATGAGTTGTGACCAGTTGGATAGGAGAAACGGATGAATTTGCCCAGATAGTTGATTATCAGACATTCCCAGATCAGTGAGTTGTGTTAATGAGGCCAGGGAAAGTGGCAAAGAACCTGTAAAGCTGTTCGTTGACAGGTCAATAATGGTAAGGTTGGTGCAGAAGCCAAGTTGTTTTGGGATGCTGGAATTCAACCCTGCATCCTGAAGCTTTAGAACCTGAAGTTTCCTGAGATTTCCAATTGCAGATGGTATTGGTCCATGAAATAGATTCTCATGCAATTCAAGTATTTCGAGGTTCGACATGAACCCTATTTCATCTGCTATAGTACCATTCAGCTTGTTTATCCCGAGCCTCAGATGTTGAAGTTTTGTTAAGTTCCAAAATTCTGTTGGAACCGGTCCTTCAAATGAATTTTTTGTCAAGTTAAGAAATAGAAGGTTTTCAAGACCAGTCAGTAATTGCACTGGAATCTGACCCGCTATTAGATTATCAGAAAAATCGAGAAATATAAGCTTTGGACATTTAGTAATAAACAAGGGAACTTCCACCAGGGAGTTGAGGTTGAGCCCTAGATCAGTTAAAGATGCCATACCCTTAAACTGAACTGGGTCAGGGTTCTCTAGAAAGTTGGCTCCGAGGTTCAGAACCCACACCTTCTGCAGATTGCTAAGCTCGTATGGAATTGGACCAGTGAATGAATTGTTATAGAGATGAAGAACTTGGAGTTCTAGGAGATTTCCAATCTCCGGAGGAATTGGATTTGTTAAATTGTTGCTACCCAAATCAAGAAAAGTGAGTTTTGTTGCATTTCCAATTCCAGCTGGAAGGTCTCCTACAATATTGTTGAGATTGAGATCAAGGGAAGTTAGATTGGGGAAGGCAGAGAAGTCAAACCTGTTGAGTGTTCCATTGAGGCCCGAGCTTGCTAGATTTATCCCAATAACGCTTCCGGCTTCATTGCATTGAATTCCAGTCCAGTTGCATGGACTGCTGCTGTTGCTGGTGACAGTCCACGAAGGGGGAGAGGGAGGGTCTAAACTGTTTTTCCAGCTTAGCAAAGCTTCTGCTTCTTTTTGTGCTGAGGTATCTTCCAATACACAAGATAAAATGTAAAAGTAAACTGTTAACTGTAATGTTCGTCTCATGTCTGCTGTTAGGATGGTATAAAAGAGCTTATCTTTCCAATTTTTTGATCAAAATATAAGAGGAGTCTGACTGAACAAAATATAGGTGCATAACCATTGTAGTTTGTTGCTTGGGTACTGTTTCTCTTGGTTGTTAAATTTCTTTGAATTTGGTTGTCTTTGCTGAAAATTCAAAGTTCTAGGTCATTCATCTGTAAGGTTGGGAATTGACTAACCTTGATCATGATCCCACGTTATATGGACTTTGTGTTCTAGTTTTGACTTACTATGCATTTGTGGGCATTGTGAAATACATTGACCGAACTCTGTGTACGTTTTGTGGTCCATAGAAGTTTATGCATATGAAATAGATATATATATATATATATATATATTGCACTTTTGTGGCTAGGCATGTAATATATTTTACGAAATACTTCACACAGTACATTTGTAAATTGATCAACTAATGTAGGCCAAAATAGACCCAAGTATGAGACCGGAAGGAAGTTCTTGGGCACGCCATATGAGAAGAGAAACTATTCAACTCTCACCAACTGTTTAGGAATTGTCAAACTAGTTTATTTTTAGGAATTATTTGTAGAATTTCAGCAAGTTGTTTGATTCAACTGTTATATTCGTTTTTTCTTTTTCTTTTTTTATCAAAGTTGCTTTCTGTATTTCATGTTAATTTTTATTGCTATTTAAATAATTATCTTTCTGGTTCCACTTTCACTAAATATGGCTTGCCATGGAGTCTGTCTAGACCTGCAGTTATTCGAATCTTGTGCTATCAAGATATATGAGGATTTAAAAGCAAATTCATTGAAGAAACATGAATGAAAATTGATTGGTGCTCACTTTTTTTTTTGGATAAGCGCTCACTTTTCAACTATCCTTTTCAGGGATGGTTTCTTTATTATTATTATTCTAGGTCACGTTTGGATAGAAAGAAACTGGGATGGTGACATATATTGGTTGGTGAGTGATCCAGTTCAGAATTCACATTATATATAATGTGAACTCGCAGAATTTCAGAATAGCGCTGGAATCTTTAGTCTACAGAGTACCCACATGTCTAGCTAAGTCTCTATCTTTATTTATCATGTGCAAGCATGCAACATACATTCATACATACATACATACATGTATATAAATATCTATATATTTCTGTATGTAGAAATGAAGTTAAAAGTCTCTTTTTTTTTTTTTTTAGTTGGTACTCATATTCACTTATCTCTTCTGAAACTTGAACCCCTGATCTCCCTTTAGGAAGTAAGAGGCCGATACCGCTAGACCACTGGTCCGTTAGTGAAGTTAAAAGTTAATTATAGTATAGTTTGAACGAGTTTCAATTAGAGTCTACACTTCATGAAGTGATGCTTGTGATCTTTTGTGCTCAAGTGTGGGCCTGTGGCATGAGTTTTTCTTCTCTTTTGTTGTTGTTGTGAATAGAGAGAGCTTAACATTCAAATAGTACTATGTCTCATAGAGGTCTTCTCTTTCTTCTGTTTCCTGTTGGTTAATTGTGAATGCAATTTGACTTAGATGCAGAGAATGGCTAATTTAAAAATTGAGGCAGTGTGGGAGGATATAATTCAGTTGCTGAAGACTTTTTGCTGGTCAAAGGTTGACGTTAACCATGTGGGTGGGTGGTGATATTTTTACTTTCAGTGGACCCTAAAATAATTTTAGACAACACTCCGTTTAAAATCAAGGCCTGAAAATAGATAGGTTGGTGGGTTAATATAAGTAGGAGGTTGACGTCTTGGATCTAATCAGTGGGCTGAATTAAATTTTTATTTTTATTTTTATTTTGCAAACTAGTTTCTAGATTTTGTTTTTGGTGAAAGCTGGAAAAATGCATATATGAGAAGGTCACCTACCAAAAACAAAAAGATGAAATGGCCATAAACAGTGTTTAGGAATATTAGATAACATTTTATTTGCTTATGTCTTGTTAAATTTTGTCATTAAAATGCTTGGAAGTTGGAAGTAACTGTTTCCAGGAGGAGCATAAATGCTCAACAGTGGTTTGACCATCTTAGACTAATTTTGTTTTAGTAGGAATAGTTTTGCTTTTTACATTGAGTCCAAGAAGTCTATGACATACATGCTCGTGCATGCATGATTTCAGCCAAGACCTCCAACCAACATGGCATTCATTTGTTGGGCTGATTAATTAAGGTTTCACTAATGAAATTAGTCAACATTACCATCAAACTCCCATTGTAAGTGCTGTTAGTGATTTAAGCACCACTCTATGACCACTCATAATTTGTTTTAATTATTTATTTTTCACATTAAACACAGTGCTAATGAAAACTGGTTAAATATATATCCACTAGGACGAGAGCTCCACAATCCCATAGAAATAGATAAATTAAACTCTGCTTTTCATTGTGACTACTAAATATCTATATAATATGCTTTTGTATGTAGTGGAATATATTTTCACTAGGAGTAGTACTCCACATCTAGTAGGGATAGGTAGAATATAATTTCACTAGGAGTAGTACTCTACATCCAGTAGGGATAGGTGTCAATATGATATGATTTTGTATATAATTTATTGTACATATGGAAGGGAAGTCCTCACTTAACTTCAGTAAGGAATGGTTTTCTGCAATGTGGTTTCCACATTGATGGGTGGTGATTTTCTTCTTCTTTTTTCCCTTGGGCTAAAAGCTAGTTTCATATAAAAAAATATTGGGGTTTGAAAATGGATTTCAAATAAAATTACTAAATGCAAAGCGACTCCCAGAAAGTGCACCACACAGTAAAAGCATAATACTGAGAGGGAGTCCTTTTCAGTGTTTGTAAATGACTTGGAAACTTAGGAAGTTTTATTTTCAAAACTAAAGTGGGATTCAACATAATGAACTTAGATTGACGAATGTACCCTAAGCTCTATTCGTTCATTTAATCCACGTTTATATCACAAGGCTCACAGCTAACTCTAAACTAGGCTCCTGACTTAGTATTTTTTTATTTGCATCCTCACTCTCTCTGCTATAAAAGAGTATGCCACTAGTATAATGTTGTAACATGCATGAAACCTTAAACAAAAAGAAACCAAAGATGACACCATTTCAAAGGCCTGGTTTTCTTCTCCTTATTATTCTCTCTCTCTGTTTACTTCCATTGAAGATCACATCATCAGCAAGAACAGAAGCAGATGCTCTTGTCAAATGGAAGAACACCTTATCATCTTCATCCCTCAGTTCTTGGTCTTTCACCAACCACAAAAACCTTTGTGACTGGCCAGGCATTGTCTGCAATACAGCTGGAAACGTCTCCGAGATAAACCTCTCATATGCAAATGTTAATGGAACACTTATCCAGTTCAGTTTCACTTCATTTCCGTATCTCACTCGTTTCGACCTTAGCTACAATAACTTCAGCGGGTCGATACCATCCAGAATTGGCAAGCTAGCCAAGCTCACATTCCTGGACTTGAGCAGTAACTATTTTGATGACATTATCCCTTCAGAAATTGGACAGTTGACCAAGCTTCGATACCTGAATATTTTCAGCAACAAACTAAATGGTGCCATTCCATATCAAGTTAGCAATCTTCAGAAGGTATGGTACCTAAACTTTGGGTCAAACTACTTAACTACTCCAAACTGGTCGAAGTTTTCAGGCATGCCTTCATTGACACACCTAAACCTTTTTTCCAATGAACTTACCTTGAAATTCCCAAATTTTGTACCTCAGTGTCCGAATCTGACATACGTCGACTTATCATCTAACCATTTAACTGGCCTAATACCTGAATCGGTGTTCATCAATTTGAGCAAGCTTGAATATCTCAACCTCACCACGAATTCATTTCAAGGGCCATTGTCATTAAAGTTCTCCAAGCTTTTCAAGCTCAAAGATCTTCGCCTAGGAAATAACAATCTCACAGGCACAATTCCTGAGGAGATAGGTTTGATGTCTAACCTTCAACTCATTGAGTTGCGTAACAATTCGTTTGAAGGAAAGATTCCCAGTTCCCTGGGCCAACTCTGGAAGCTTCAGACCCTCGATCTCGAAATAAATAAATTGAATTCCAGTATTCCTTCTGAGCTTGGCCTGTGTACTAACCTTACCCGCCTGGCTTTAGCCATGAATTCACTTACTGGAGTGTTGCCTTTATCCTTGTCGAATCTGAAAAAGATATCTGATTTGGGTATTTCCGGTAATTTTCTTTCTGGTGAGATCTCACCTTACTTCATCACCAATTGGACCGAGTTGACGTCATTGCAAATTCAATACAATTCTTTCACTGGAAAAATCCCACCCGAAATCAGCCTATTGACAAAGCTTAACTACCTTTTCCTGTATAATAATCATCTCACTGGTCCAATCCCGCCAGGGATTGGAAACTTGAAAGATTTGTTGTCTTTAGACCTTTCAACAAACCAGCTCTCAGGTCCAATTCCTCCAGCAATTGGGAATCTCTCAAACCTTACTCTCCTAAACCTCTTTTCCAACAATCTTAGTGGAACCATTCCGCCTGAAATTGGAAATTTGACATCACTGCTTACTCTTGGTCTCAACACTAACCAGTTGAAAGGAGAGTTACCGGATTCCTTGTCTAACCTTGATAAACTACAGATGCTTTCTCTGTACACCAATAATTTCACTGGCAGCATCCCAAGGGACTTGGGGAAGAGAAGTCCATCTTTGGTATTTGTTAGTTTTTCAAACAACAGCTTCTCTGGAGAATTGCCCCCTGGATTATGCAGTGGTTACACTCTTCAGTTTTTGACGGTGAATGACAACAAATTCAGTGGGCCATTGCCGGATTGCTTGAAGAATTGCTCAGAACTAATTCGAGTCCGTCTTGAAGGGAATCAGTTCTCTGGAAACTTATCGGAGGCATTTGGAGTCCATCCAAATCTTGTTTTCATCACTCTTAGCGACAACCAATTCTCAGGGAAACTCTCACCTAAGTGGGGACAATGTGCAAATCTCACAAATTTACAATTAGATCGAAACAATATCTCCGGTGAAATTCCAGCAGAGCTAGGGAACTTGACACAACTGCACATCCTGAGGCTGGACTCAAACGAATTGGCTGGTGAAATTCCTACTGAACTGGGAAAGCTTGGCTTGTTGTTCAACCTCAACCTGAGGAACAACCATTTGACAGGAGAGATCCCTCAGAGTATGGGCAACTTAACAAAACTACAATTTCTTGATTTGTCAATGAACAAGTTTACTCAAAGAATCCCAAAAGAGCTTGGCAATTGTGAGAGCTTACTGAGCTTGAACTTGAGCAACAATGTTTTGTCGGGGGAAGTACCATCCGAGCTTGGGAGTCTATTTAGATTGCAGTATCTCTTGGACATCAGTAGCAACTCACTATCAGGAACAATTCCCTCCAGCTTTGGAAAGCTTTCCTCATTGGAGAATCTCAATCTTTCACATAACAATCTCTCAGGTAGAATTCCATCAGCCCTATCTGGCATGATTAGTTTACAATTCATTGATGTTTCTTACAATGAGTTGTATGGTCCAATCCCTACTGGTAAGATGTTCCAAACAGCACCGGCAAATGCTTTCTTTGGAAACTCAGGCTTGTGTGGAGATGCAGAAGGCTTATCCCCTTGTAATGCTCGTTCTCCAAGAGAGAAGTCGAAGAAACACCATGAAACTGTTCTTATCAGTGTCATTGTCTCAGTTGTTAGTCTAATAATTTTGGCAAACATCGTTGCTGGATGTTACATCTTTCATGGGAAAATTAAGCAATATGAAGAAGAGTCTAAAAATGCCAATAAAGATGAAAATTTTGAGTCGCTGATATGGGAAAGAGAAGGAAAATTGACATTTGGGGATCTCATGAAAGCCACCGAGGACTTCAATGATAAGTACTGCATTGGGAGAGGAGGGTTTGGAAGTGTTTACAAGGCTGTATTGTCAAAGGGCCACACAGTATTAGCAGTTAAAAGGCTTAATATGTCAGATTCTAGCGACATTCCAATGATGAATCGGCAAAGTTTTGAGAATGAGATTCGGGCTTTGACAGAAGTTCGACACCGGAACATCATTAGGCTCCACGGGTTCTGTTCTAAGAAGGGGTGCATGTACTTGGTTTATGATTATGTAGAGAGAGGTAGTTTGGGGAAAGTGTTGTATGGTGAAGAGGGGACAGTGGAACTAGGTTGGGGTACGAGGGTGAAGATTGTGCAAGGAGTGGCTCATGCACTCGCTTACTTGCACCACGATTGCAATCCACCTATTGTGCACCGTGATGTAACTTTAAACAATATTTTGCTCGAGCCAGAGTTTGATCCACGGCTCTCAGATTTCGGCACAGCCAAGCTGTTGAGCTCGGATACATCTAATTGGACTACAGTTGCTGGCTCTTATGGCTACATGGCTCCAGGTAAGCTTTAATCATTCAGTTACCTGGTGACTGAAGAATGTTGTATTGATGCCATTAATATTGTTTTTTCTTTAAATGTGTAGAGCTTGCGTTCAGCATGCGGGTGACAGAGAAATGTGATGTTTATAGCTTTGGAGTGGTGGCATTGGAAGTTTTGATGGGAAGGCACCCAGGGGAGCTCCTATCTTCTCTTTCATCACTAACAACATCATTGTCAAGTGATTCAGATTTGTTCTTGAAGAATGTGCTAGACCAACGGTTCCCACCTCCCACAGGCCAATTAGCAGATCAAGTGGTGTATATAGTTACGTTGGCCCTGGCATGCACGCGTGCCACACCGGAATCACGACCCACCATGCGGTTTGTTGCGCAAGAATTATCGGCTGAAACTCAGGCATACCTGGCTGAACCTTTGAGCATGATACAGATGAGCAAGCTTACAGGCTTTCAGAAGTAAATCATATAGTAATGATTTTTGCCAAATAAATGCAGCTTAACACCTTAGGAACCACCCCTACATGTATTTTGGTTTGGCTTGTACTATATTTGTGTTTCCAGTCAATGCACTGCTTTGTTAATGATAATGTTATTTCTTTAAGCCCCAAAATGTTGACCGTCACGAAAAGGATCATAAAACTGGTTCAACCCATTTCCGAATGAATCCAAGTCTGTCTGCTTCTCATTCCCAACTCTGTTTGTCTCATCTTTTCGCCAACTCTCTCCCTCTCCGCTCTCACAATCTCTCTTGGTTCTAGTTTAATTTTACCCATCAGAGTAGAAAATTCGGTTTTCGTTTTTTTTTTTTTTTTAATGATCTTTATTTCAAAATGGCAAGAAAAACTAATTTGATATCTTTGTATTTCTCATTTTAGCTACCTGAAGATCTATAACCAAGTTCAACTTGTGTGTTCCAATTTGGACATTAATTTGAATTCCAAATTACCAACCTTAAAATTAAAGAACCTATTTCCATAACGTACAGAGCCTGCAAATTTATACACAAAAATGAACATACGAGGGAATTTCATTCCATTTTTTTCTTTTTTCTTTTTCATAGTGCAGCCTTAAGATCCATGCAAGTATCCATAAATCTTACAGCCCCCAGCAACCTTCTGTTTTCACCATCAAGCAAAATTACAGTCCGCCATGTACCCAAAACAACCAAAAACATTAACATTATCATAGTTCTTTCCCCCCCCCCCCCCCCCCCCCCTTTTTTTTTTTTCGGGTAAGTCGGTAACTATCCTATCATCCAAAAAAATTTGTCTTTGTTGGAAGCATGGGCAAAAAAAGTTCCTGCCTTTTCCAACTAGAACTTCTGAATTCATCCTTGCTCAACTAAAGGAGCATAATAATCAAAACTCCGACAATTTACTTACCTCCACAAAAAAGGAAAAAGGAAAAAAGAAGAGCACAAGATATTGCCCAAGAGAGTTTAGCTATGAAGAAAAAGAAAACAAGAGAGTTCTAAATCTCAGACCATCCGACTCAGCTGAGATACGCCATTTAGCAGTATTCGTCATACTAAGATGATTTGGCAGGTTATTCGGCTTATTAATCAGTTTTTGCCCGCTTTGGGGGTTGAGCATTAGAAACCTCGTCAGCATTTGCCTCAAGATTCTCGGAAGCTTTAGAATCAGGTGCCTTTTGCTTCTCTCCCAACTTCCTGGAAACCTCCTGTGATTCGGTGACAACTGGAACATCTTCAGTTTCTTGACAGACCACCTGTGAGGCTCCTGGTTCATTTTTGGCAGGGGAATTTTGAATTGCATCTGTCGACTGAGCAGAAGGGTTCTCCTGGGCGGATGGCGAGCCCTTAAGCATGTCAAGACCTGACTTTTGCTTCTCGAACATCATCTGGAGGTATCTCCCTTGTTCTTCTATTCGCAGTTGTAGAGTTCGTTGAATCTGCACAAAAAATGTTACTTAGATATCAGTATTAACCATTAATTCGATGACAAACAAGGAAATGCTGCCCATGTTACCACTCTGAGGATTAAAAGAAGCAATCTGGAGCAAATCATTTCCTTGCATAGTCAATTAAATGCTTAATTTCAAACTATCAAAGTCAGTACTGCTCATAGCACAGGCAAGACTCTGGTGAAAAAGAATTTATACTTTCCAAAGAAAGAAGGGGGAGTTCTCACTTTGCCATCTGCTGCACTTACAAGGAAAAGTTAAAAACTCCTTTTTATCATCAATGGAAGTCCCAACCTTTGCTGATACCTATTCAAGCTTCTCATACTGTTGCCTGGATATTTACCAAAGAGTAAAAACATCTAGAACAGCCACTTTCCAACTCTCACTCACTTAATCATTCTTTTGTTTCCTTTTTCCTTTTGCATTTGAAAGAAGTCATTTTCTAACTTTAATCAAGGTTTTGATACCAAAAAAAAAAAAAAAAAGAAAATACAACTACAGGATCCGTGAATAGCTTGTGGAGATTGAAAGGTCTTGAAATGTGTGAAATCTGCAATATAGATTTATATGCAACGTGTATTCTCCTTGTGAAAGATTCACCAACAACACTAATTCACTGGTTTAAAAAAATATCGATAAGGCAAGAGGCTCATGGTAAGCAGCAGGCTCTAAACACATTATACAGTAGAAACAAAATATAATTAACATAGGTTTCATTTCTCACAAACTTCTTTGTGGACGAATAAGTAACCAATAAAATTAAAAACCAAAATTCCTCTCAGAAACAAATTCATACCTCAAGCTGTTCATGCAGCCGCTTCTGCACTTCTATTTGTAACCGCAATGCTTCAGTTATCTCAATACCCCTGTTACCATGACACAGAGAAGTTAGCAATTTAAATGAATTCAGAAGCCCCAATTGCATCAAGAATACAAAGGTAAGTTAGTTTGTACTTTGTAAAGAATATGTGGAAAAATCACTACAAAGGGATATAGAAAGAAGTGGCTTCAGCAATCATGCAGCGAAGATGTGTATCAAGGGTGAACTAATTCCAGAAGCTATAAACACCATCAAACTTGACCAACAAGTTCACATAAAAAGGACTCGGTCAATGCTACACTGCGATTTTTTCAAGTCGATCTTTAAGAAGCTACACTGACTTTAACTAATAAAAAGGACTACCGAAGCAGCTTGGCAAAGTGAGAGTATTAATATTGAGACAACAATAACTGAATTATAGTCTATGTATACACAAAATGAACTATGCCTAGTAGTAATAGTTCATAGGATGATAGGTTTTGGTGATCCCTTCAACTAAAAGAAAAGATAAATGGATGACAATATGTGTGTGTGTGTGTGTGTGTGTGTGGGTGTGTTCTTCCCTTCTGAATCAGATAGGTTCATATCTGAAAGAGGTTGACAATAAGTTATTTCAAAATTGACTATTTGTCCCTCTGTTAGAGGTGTTCCAGAATGCGATCAAGTAAATAGCTATACGAACAAATGGATCGGATCGACTTGGCAAATGGGAAGATTTGTACAAGTTATACAAGTAAATTTAAAAGATTAACTAACTTACGATTTCAAGTCTAGAGATGACAATTCCTCAATAGGAGTCAATTTTTTATCTGATGATCCTGCAACCAAAGGGAATGACCAACTTCATAAATAACTGCCCCAGAAATAACAAAAGCAATATAGTCACACATAAGCAAACTTCACATATTACAGCCCATATAAAGGTAAACAAGTCACACATAATCACCAAGAAAAAGGTCACGCTATGGCATAGGAGTTTAAGCACAAAATAAATAAATAAAAATAAAAGGGGAAAAAAGTTAATATTGAAAGTAAAGACAATTTTCTTTACATGACAAGGAAATACGGAATTAGAAGCATTGGAGGCTTGGAACAATGTCAAGGACATTGACAGAGATCAAGGAAGGTAGTTTTAGACATTTGCCCACCAAAGATCTGTTACTTACCCAATAGGTTGCAGAATGAGGGAAATATTAACTAAGACAGCACAGCATAGAAGAATAATCTCAATAGAAAGTGCGAACTGAATCAAAGCCAGTCCAATATTTTAAACATAGGGAGAGAGTAAAAAATGAGATAAATAGTTTATTACAAAAAAAAAAAAAAAATGGAATTGCATAATTTTATCTGAAGGCATGGCATGTTATACAGGAACTATAGAACTTGATTAGCAACACCAAATAGCTAGGGCAAAGAACTCAGAGAGAGAGAGAGATGGCTGTGGTACAAATCTTCCATACATTGGTAAAGAGCCAAATTACAAAGTAAACATAGCAGAAGATTCCAGAAAATAATTGTTAAAAACTACATTACTTGATGACTGGATCATGCAAAGATTGATAACTTCAATCATCCTCCAGAAAAGTACCAAGAAGGAATCCAATTTCTATATTTAAATTGAAAGGCCTTGAAAAAAAAAAAAAAAGAAGCTTGAAATTCATATGTCATTTCATTTGTTAACATGTCAATGCTTTAACAACATAGTGAATTGCATCATAAATATAGTAGTACAACCTCATTGAACATAAAGGAACCGCAATGCAACAACAAAGATGCCGATACAGTGAAGGAGAAATTTGGGGGCACAACATTAAAAATACTAAACATGTATGTTTTTATTTTTACATCAAGAGGCAATCGTTATCTACCTTCTGATAATTCTGGTCTGTATCTGGCTGTTCTATACTTCTGCAATCCATGGAACAAGTGCTCCCATTAAATAATTAAAATAGACGATATCAATTCTAAAGAGAACTACTATCAAAGGGGGAAAAAAAAGATACCTGCAGGTGGCTCTTTACATGATAGATGGTTAACCCTTCAACCTTCATTTGCTTCAGTACACCCTTTGGAGTAGCTCCTGTAGTTTAAAATTAACAAATTAGTAAACACAGCACAGCCAAATAATGCCAATAAGAACAGTAAGTTGAGGAGAGCTACACACTTTCACTTCCACCAAGCTTGTTAACAGCCTCCACAAAGGCTTCATGAAGTTCCGGTGTCCAACGCATGCGTGGCTTACTTGGGGCACTGTTTGCTGAGGACAAGGGGGTGCCAACAGCGCAGGTTTCTCCAGGTGTGCCAGGAACCTGCTGAAATACTTGGGGCTGGTGTGCTGAAAAGTTTGTAGATGACTTGGCCACCTGATATGCCATCTACATTAATAAAACAATACCGTCAGGCCAGTCAAAAGAGTTAAACGAATTGTAGAGATTTCTTAACAGTCTCATGTCATGAGACGAACCCAACCTTTGGTTCTGGATCTGCAACATGGGTATCAACAAGAAGGTCATTCCAATTAGAAGCCAAAGCATCATCATCAGTGATTAGCTGGTCTGCCCATTCCTGCCAATCATTTTGTTTACCAAGGTCCTCAGATACCATGACACAACCATCACTATTGGTGCTATCTATTTGATTATTCTGGCCAGGGGTATTTACAGGATAATCAAAAAAATCCGGCAGTGAATCTGTACGCCAGGAATCATTGTTGCTTTGCCTAGTATAATGACTTGAAACTGTAGAGGGAAACACTCCAGAATGACTTGAATGAGTAAATGGCATAGATGCTCCGCAGTTTGATGACTGAGAAAGAAAGGGAGCCTTTCCAGAATGCTTTTCATGTGGTGCAACAGAAGAAAAATGAAGATCAGAGGAGTACCCCGAGGATGATGAAAACATGTGACCTACTACCCCACTATTTGAAGGTAATGAAGAATGAAAAGCCGAAGGATTTTGCATTAGTTCCCTCTCCATGGAGACCTGTTGAGAGTCTTGCAGGTTAGGATATCTCTCTTCCATATTGGTGGGTAGAACGGGTAAAGATGATGATAGAGCTCCAGATGCTCCAAGGTTACTTAGCTGTCTTGCACCTGATCTCTGAATGGATAAAGCCGGTCGTGCCTCCATCTTTTTCCTGATTTAACAATAAAGAAGCAAAGCTATTCAGTCAACCAATTTAACTGTTGCGTCCACTTCACCCATTTGATACCTACACCAAAAGAAAGGGTCAATCTAAATTTCAGCTTCTCCAAGGAGAAAGCACACACTCATATAACAGGGACGAACCCAGACCATTAAGTGGGAGAGAGGGGGGGGGGGGGGGGGGGGGGGGGGGGGGGGGGGGGCAATAATGATATTTTTTAGTAATTTCAGGGGGAGCAATAGTAATATTTTAGGGGTATATAACTGAAAAGGAACAATTTAGTAAGGTAAATTAATAAATAAAAAAATTTTCAGTGGGGGCAATTACCCCCCTCATCCTAATGAGGGTCCGTCCCTGCATATACATACACGCACGGCAAATATATGTAAAAAATAAATAAAGTAACCACCCAATCATCAAAATGTTTTTCAGAAGGAATGTGAAATTAAAAATTAGTGAAAAATCTAAAAGTAGCATCTATAAGAGATGTGAAGAGCACTCTTCATCTCTCTCACCACTTCTGTTAGTTCCCTCCTGATGTAAACAGCTTGCATTATTAACCTCTCTCAGGCCTATCTCATGCTCAACAAATCTATCGCAAAATTTCATAGTATGACTTGTTAGTTTAATCATTAATGCCACAAAAATTTTTACAGTTTTGATTTTGAAAATCTCCTTTATTTTTATATATAGGAACTAAATTGTTTTCCGCCTCAAAAGAACTAATTAGCTTATCAAACAATTTTGTTAACAAAGCTTAAGACACCCATGCCCACAACGAACTGGGACTTGAAGTACCCCATTTGGAGTGGTAAGAGATTACAATTAATTAAATACCGTGCTAGGACTACCTATTTTCACCAATTCTGTTGATTAATTATGGTTCTTAGAAGCCTCTCACAGATCTCAATATAGCATACACCAAATGAATCTCGTCACACACAAAAGAAAATTCCCACATCTTTCTTGGGGTTGTTCACGATATATAGCCACTGCTCAAATAAGGCATATTCATCTATTTGTTATTACTTACTTTTTTAAAACCTACTATATTATAATTTCCATTCTCTAGGGATGTTATTATAGGGCTCCAGCTAAACAAAAAACACGTGAAGGGCATTCCTTATCTCTTTAAGCACTTCCTTTAGTTCCCAACATATGTAAACAGCTTGCATTGTTGGCCTCTCATGCCTAAAACTAGACTACTTATTTGAAACTATTTAATTTAAGTCCTAATCCATGCTCAACGAATCTCTCCCAAAATTTCATAGCATGGCTCCTTAGTCTTGTACCACAATAAATTCTACATTTGATTTTTGAAAATCTCCATTATTTTTATATGTAGGCACGAAACTGTTTTTCGCCTCTAAGGCATTATTATGAACTATAAAACAGTTCAGTTAACTAAAATGCGTGACACACACCCGTATCCCAACTGGGAGTTGAAGCCTGCAACTCCCCCTTGGAATGGTAGGAGGCAACACTCACCGAATCATGAATTTAGGACGTCCCTATTTTCATCAATCCTATTGATTAATTATAATTCTCAAAAGCATCTCAAAGCTATCAGGGACACACAGTAGGCATCTACATTCAATATTGACAGACTAACACCAAATTCAATTCCAAGAATAAAATAAACTTAGTTTGGGATACCTACGTAAAGCCTTGTGGTTTAAACAACACTCAACTCAAATAAATTCAATCAAACAAACACAACTAAGAGCAATCCCTAAGGAAACAACAGAAGATATAAAAATAAAAAAAAAATAAAAAAACCCCAATTCAGCATGGACCCAAGGAAAAATAAAAATTTTAAAAAACAAAAGCAAAATCGACAAGGGCCATTAAGATTGCAAATTCACCCAAGTAAATAAATAAATAAACAAAATCGAGAGATGGGTGTTTGAATTCATACCTAAAATCCAATAAAAATCGGAACGTGAGACCCGAAAAACTCCATATGTGCTGAAATTGAATGATTGTAGGGCTGAGATTGTGCTTGGAAGCAATAGAAATCAGAGACACACAAGGGTGATATAACGTGTGTGTATATGTTATGGTATATATCTAATGGCACGGGCGGGTTTCATAACTTCCGTCACAGAGGCAGAGGTCCCAAAAAGAGGAGAGAAGTGAACGGTGACGAGTGCGCATTTGGCCTTAGCCTATGCATAGTGACTGCTCAACGCGACTTCAGTGGCGCGTATGGAACAATACTAGGATTTTATAAAAAGGGTGGTGATTGTCATGTGTTGTGGGTCCCAACGAGAAGGGCACTTATGTATTTGTGATTGGTTAGTGCACGCACTGTCTTATGGGACGGACGTGGGGTTAGAAGCTTGGAATCTTATTCAATCATATAGTATATTTTACTATTATTTTTTAGTTTATTTATAATATACATTTTACATAATACGGTATATAATTGTGCTCTTTCAGTTGCCTAAAAGGTCATATGGGAACTCTTTCGTGCTTTCGCACTCAGACAGAAATGTGGTGCTTGATAACTTTGACTGGACACGTGTTGCATAAATACGATTTATTAGGGGTGTACACGGTCATAGTTTTCTTAAAAAAAAAATCGGAACCGTATAATATGTAATCGAATCATTAAATCAATTCGAAAAAAGAACCGAAACCGTATAATATGAAATCAAACCATTAAATCAATTCGATTCTGATTCGGTTCATTAGAACCGTTAATGGTTTAGTTTTATTTATTATCAAAATAAAAATCTAGAACTGGGTTTCTTTAAGCACACTCAATACCACTAAAAGTGCACAATCATACATGGGTGTCTATATATATATATATATATATATATATATATACATATAAAAGATGAAGATAGTGGATGCTGAAGATAAGCAGCAGCTTTACATGGATTGGAGTGAATCAAGAATTGTAGCTTTCCCTCCTCTGTGATTGATTGAAGACAACAAGTACGGGTCATCTCAAAGGCCAAAAACCATGAAAACCAAACACAGGTCAGCGGTCAGATGGGCATTCTCACAACAGAGGTTCTAGACAGATTTGATTCTTCTTGCTATCAGATCTGTTCAAAAGCTATGGCGCAAGCTCACGTGCGGAGAAAGAAATTGATAAATAAGAAGTCTTTGCAGAGAGAGAGAGAGAGAGAGAGAGAGAGAGAGGGCAAGTTCAGAGTTGAGAGAATAGAGATGGAGATTGGAGGCGATTGGGGAGGCTGAGGCTTAGATTTAGGGCAAAAAAAACTGAAAAAAAAATAGGTATATATATACACACGGTTCCGGCTCTTACCGGTTCCCACGGGTTAGAACCGGAATCGAAACCGAAACCGAAACGGTATGTTCGCGATTTCTAAATTCGAAATTGGAACAAGAATCGGAAAAAACGGTTCCGATTCTTTTATGCACCTCTACTATTTGTTAGAGTAATATAGTTATGGCCTTTGATAAATGGACCTTAGAGTATTCCTTTTAAAATTATATTTATTAATTATTTTATTTTGACAAATGGGTATTACTAAATCATCTGAATATTATGATTTATATTTGTACAATTGTACTTTACTCTTAACCAGTTAAGCCGTAGGATATCTGTATTTCTCACTAAGACTTAGATAAGTCGTAAAAATATTATGATATAATTGAACCATAAGTATTAGCTCTACTCATTTAAAGAATACTTAATCCAATAATATCATAATATTTTGAATTCAAAAATTATTCCTCCATTATATTTCATATTTGTATATATGATGAGATTCACACTTTACTATTTTTTAAATAAAATGAAAGGATATAATTACACATCAAATATCTATTTTGTCATTTCAATTACTACAAGAACTCAAATAAGGAAAACGCATGAACATCACTATATTTATGTAATAAATATAAAATCCTCCAAATAAAATTCAAAATCCTTATTAATTAGGACTTAGATCATGATATGATTTGGCCACAAGTGTTAGTTAGACACATTTAAAGAATACATTATTCAATAAAATCATGACATTTCGAATCAAAAAAATATGTCTCAATTATGGTAGTTCATATTTTTATATGTGTGCATACGATGAGATTCACATTTTACTTTCCTTTTGTATGAAATTCTTAAATAAAATGAAATGATATAATTACATTTCAAATATTTATTAGGAGAAAAACTATATTTGAAGAGTAATTTTGTCATTTCAATTACTAAAACACTCAAATAAGGAAAAAGCATGAACATCCCTATATTTATGTAAGAAAATATAAAATCCCCCAATAAAAGTCAAAAAAATTAACAAGATAGCTAAAAATTGACTAATAAAATTTATAATAAATACTGAATATCACCTCCCCTTGACAAATAGTGGAAACTTAAATATTTTCCTTTTCAAAAAAAAATTGATTTCCATTTGTACCCTGCAAACTATTCCTTATTCCAGTGGAGAAGCCTTATAGATAAGGTACAATGATACAATCCATGCCATCAAAATGGACTTAAAGCAGAGAAGCTTTGGCCATAGATAAAATGGCACCATCCAACCAAGTGGGCACCAACAATCAGTATCAAAAACAACAAATTGGGAAGATAGATAGAGATATATATATATATATATATATGCGCGCGTATGTATATGACTCTATGAGAGATGTTGTCGTCAACAATCATTGCAATTGTGGAAGCATCAAAGAATTGACAGACCACATTTTAAAAAAGATGCCCCAGCCTTTATAACATATAATTTGAATAAATAAATATATGATATTAATTATATTGAGATCAGTTGTATAGATTCATCACAAAGAAGAAGATATAACCATCTCACCATGGCGATGCATTGAATCTACACGGTATGAGAATTGTACTAACGCAGCCCTTTGACTCCTCAGAATTGCGTTTCCAAGAAACAATAAACCATTTTGTACTTTTTTTAAAGGTCAATTTATTCATAAACCATAAGATAAAAACAGGTGTCAAATATATATGAACAAATATTATACAGAATACGTAGTATAATCTACTTTCACACGCTAACAATATCTATATTTGTCTGAAGTTTGAGAGTTGAGATTGAAGTCTTCCATTTCTGGAATAAATATTGTTGCATACAGTTTCTAAACAAATCGTTTGGGAAATGTTCGGTATGTGCACACCCTCTCGACATTGGACATATAATTATGGCCCACCACCTGCTAAAAGCAACACACTCACTTTGAAAATGGGTGTGCAAGTGGATATGAAACTTTAGGGAGCTCCGTTTCCTATTTATTTATTTATTTTTGTTTTGTTTTATTTTAGACAAAAACAGTGAACAATTTCTATTTTATAGTAATTGTTTAATCTTAGTATTTGTTTGATAAGATTAATTCATGTGAGTTCCACTTATTCATCCAACGAAGTAAAATAAGATTGTACATGATTTGGTCTTTATATGTTGGATGAAATGATGTCATATAACTACTCACAGCAGCAACAGCACGAATTTGTTAATAAAGTCTTTTTAAAATATTGAGGTTTATATATACATATATATATATATATATATTCTTCTTATTTTTTGGCTCCGGAAAAAATTATTTTGAAAGACTTTAGGCGCTTTCAACTACATGAAATTGGAGCATTGGTATTAGAATTAGTATAATTTTAAAAAAAATTGATTTAATTTTTTAAAAAAAAATTTACCAATTTCAATTCCAAGCAGCATAACTATGTTCGGTAGGCATGGAATTGGTGCTATAGAATTAGAATTTGAGAAATTGGATAAAAATACCTCAGAAAATTTAACCAAATTTTTTTTTAATTCTACCAATTCTAATTACAAAGCTTTAATTACATACCGCTAACTCAGTCTGTTTTTTTTCCTTTTAACAATTCGATGCCCACGAAGGTATCTATACTCTACCATATTTAGGTTGTTCATAATTCACTTGACAAAATAATTAATTTGTATGAATACAAAATGAATGTTAAGAAGTAAACTAATCAGTTCATGCGAATACAATATGTATGTTAAGAAGCAATCACGACTCATCTATGTGTGGAGAGTGTGTTATCAAGAGGTTTGCTTTGCTTAATTTTTAAATGAAAATATTACAAAAATTAATTTCAATATTATAACATTCTATGATATAGTATTTTTATTTTCATGAATGAATTCGACATACTATTCTAATTCCCTGATTGGAATTAAAAGAAACTTAAATATCCAGTTAGCATCCTCCCCATTCAGTGCAAAGTAATTCTAAATGGTAATGTCTAATTATTGTTACTAGTTTTGAATGTTATCTCACCCTCTACTAAAAAGTAGAAGTGAAAAAAAAAAAATTACAAATTACAGACAAAAACAATTGAGTTTTGAATGGATGAGTAAAACAATATAACTACCACACACATGAACATAGCAGTTGCATAACACCATCCATTCAGTGCTTGCTTAGCTAGAAACAAGCATGGTGAAGAGTAGTGGTGGGTTTTAAGAAACATAGTACAGGGAATTTGGAAGCTTGAATGTTCTTTTAGCACTTGGGTGTCCATCAAAGCTGCTCCATTGATCACCCAAAATCCCCCATACCCGATACCCTTCCTCAACTAATCGTTTCCTCGCCTCGGCTTTGTAGTTCTGCACTTGTTTATATTCATCTTCAAGACCCCTACGTCCAAAGTTCTCAATTCTTCAACATACATACATACATACATATATATATATATATATATATATGGATTATATAAATAAAACAAAAATGATTGTAATAGTTTGAATGCGATATAGAGATCGATATATTGTACCTCAAAATTAGTCTAGTCCATCCATGATATCCAACCTTGATGAGGTTGTCAACAGTGGCATCTCTGAGGCATTCCCTTCTTGAAGAGATCAAAAAGATCTTTAGTCCCCTGCCTTTTATCTCATCAAAGAGTCTGAATGTGTGCTCAAGAGCTGGTGCTTCGTTCTCTCTCATCCATACTTCCAAGGAGGTCACATTCAACTTGTCTCCCCTATTTTTCAGACCACAATCATCAATTTACTTAGACATTGATAATATCATACAGCTACATATATAGACTATACACAACCCTCATAATTTTCTAGAGAATGGTCATTGATTTAAGCAATCCTTCAGTTAATTGGGAAATTTTAACTAATCCCTTGTATATTATTCCATGATCGATTCTTGAATGCTCAATTAGATTTTTACGAAATTCTATATCTTCAGATCAGAGCGCTGAAAAAGGGAATTTACCCCTACCATTGTGAGAAGGGGGGCGTGATCCTTTTAGATCCGTCAGGCTGTCAGACTCCAAATCATTTAACTTAGATCAAAACATCTAGTTTAGTTTTGACTATATGGTATTCCAAATTAATCAATAGTGCCCAAAGTGACTTAGTAAGTTATGTTCCATCTATATATAATAAACTCTATACACCGTACCATTCAATAATATTGGAGATGAATTTGAGTAGTATGTAGTAAAACAAGTAATGGATCGAATTAATCACTTACAGGTTACTGGAATTAATATTGCAATATAGTGATTGTATAAATTACATAGCACATTCAATGGCCACTAGTAGAAGCATGATATGATGATCAAGTAATAGATCTACTTACCCAAAATTGTGTGTTTTGAAGTAAGGAACAGTTGATAGAAGCGTGTCATCGATGTCAAAAATCCAAGCATCTTTACCATCTCCTTTCAATGTGCAACAACAACCAGTCAAATAGAGTAGACACTCTTCAATGGCTCTCTCGCAATCCGCCTTGTACTGACTGGATGTCATGTATTTTCCGATAAAGTCGACGCATTCTTGTGGGACAACCTCGAAGGCCTTGATGTTGTTGAGTTCCACATTCATCCTCCAGCTCTCACAGTAGTTTTTCAAGCTAATGCCACCTTCTATCTTCCTTTTTTTATTCAAAATGTTCCAGTCTGCAACTGCCAACCCAATGCACACCCCAACAATCACTAGAACAAACAACAACACATCTCTACCCATCTGCATTTTCTGAGACACACAGAATCCAGATGGGTGATAAAGTAATACTAAATAGTATTCTTGTAGCAGTATTTCTATTGTATGTCACATGGGGTGTGGGGTAAAGTTGTAATAAATTGGATTGACTTTAGCGAATTAATGACTTTATATTTGTGGTGTTTAGCATTTAAAATTTTAAAAAATTACTTTTAAAAGGCTTCAAATGCGTAGTAATATACTAATATGTAATTCAAGATGGTAAGTATATGACAAATTATTGCATTATAGGTATATAGAACAAACTTCGGTTGGATCAAGCTAATGGGCTGTTGGGCCCACTAAATGGAGATTTATGATACAAGCTTTTCCTTGATTAGTGCAAGGCAAACTAGGGTCATTAATCTCTGAATTAAGATTGAAATCAACAGTTAACTCTCGGTTTCAAAGTTAATTTAAAAGAGATACAATTTTTTTTATACTATTCTTTGACAAAAATACTCACACACTTGCTACCTCACCAAAATCTTGAACCTTTGACTTTTTTATTTTAAAATGTGACGATGTATCACTATCACTAGACGACCATCTTTGATAAGAAATACATTATTTTTAATGTTAATTAACCACACCATTATACTCATCTAATCAAAAGTTTTCATGTAATTCGGGAATCGTTGCAACTGCTCATATGCGATCAACAATGGGTTGGATTTGTACGATGAATGAGATCTACCTCATTCAATAATTATGGACCCACAGTAACGATAGTTGCATTTTGTTTCATTGAAATTTTGCAATTCTAAAAAATTCACCACAATGACCAGTATGGAAAAAAAAATTAAAAATGGAAGACATAATTATTGATTCTTATATTATTTTGTCTGAATTATATGGGGTCCAATTATGACATTTCATGATGATGAATGTATTCCCCACATTCTCGCCCTCAAACGCGGTTTGGGTGTTGTCACATGAAATTTTTGGTTCTGTTCGATCGTGTTATTTATTTTTGACCAATCTGGTGATTAATTAGTGAGTTCTTTTCACAGTATAAAAAGTTCAACCCACTTTCACATGATCAACTTAAATCTTGATCTCCAATTTTAACATCAATCATTAAAGCTAATTGTTGGATTCCCATAAACTTCATTTCGATGACATGATTTTAGCCTTTGATTGATGATCAATGCGTAGTGGAGGGTCCCAAAACCAGAAAAAAACACAAGGTGCTACATAGTGAAAGCCCATTTTACCTGTCTTTTTATCTTATTAGTTAGACAAAGATAATGGGGAATGGTGGTGGGTGGAAAGAGATGTTGAAGAGAGAGAAATGATCTACTACATCAACCATGTGCCATTGATAAGACTGTGCAGAACCAGGCCCCATTTGTTTCTTCATTCATTTTAGCAGTTTAATATTACAATTATCAGTACTCCACCAAAGCTGTCCATGAAAAGATCATTGGAACAATTTTTGAATTACGAAAATTTTAATTTCTTTTTCTTTTTCTTTTTTAATTTTCTAAGCAAATTCAAGTCTGGAAAATTTTGTTATGACTAAAATGCATAACTCATGAAAAAATTAAGTAATCTAAATCCATTCATGCTTTGAGTACTGCGACTGCAAGTAGTAATAAACAGGAATATGGATCTCTTTTATTCCAACTTGGATCAGATGGAGCATTAATCACAACAATGTAAGTAGTAAAATAATTGTAAACTACTTCAAGACTATGAATTCAAATATATCGATGACGACACTAGCTAGCTAGTTTCATCAACCACTAAGAAAATTTGCAAAACTGAATGAGCCAGCTAATAGAGGTATTCAGGTAATTCACAAGAGAGAGATCATATATCTGGATACATAGGAAATTAATTAAGCTGACTCATAATTGAATGAGTTGATGATCATAGGGTTCATAGCAACCATCGTCGAAGTTCTGAGAATAGCTAAGAGCATCATAGCTGTACTGCATGCTGCTTCTTCTCCATCTCAAAGATTGTTTCCATTGCGACTTGAACCGCCAAACAAATTGCCTCAACACATAGGATCCATGGCAACAACAACATTCTTCTTCCACTGATGCCCTTTTTCGTAGGGTCGACACTCTGGAGCCGGAGCCGGAGCCGCTGCATGCAATTCTCCTTCCCCACTTCAACATTTGGATTCTCCTCAACCTAATTACCATGCTCACAAATTTCATTTCATTTGCTACTACTTACTCAACCTTCAACTCAGCATTAACTATATATATTACGAAAAAAGGAGAGCTAAGATGACTTCAAAAGGCAACAAAACAACATCACAAATTTTAGTTTATGAGAAAGAAACTTGAAAAACATGCTTTTAGGAATCAATATATTATTCCATTAGACAGGCATCAGCATCGATGATATTGGATGTCATTTTCGCATCTGTAGGACGTGGAAAGTGCTGCCATCGATACCACATTCAAATATTGCTTTGTTTCCCTTTATATGTGGGGCCCCAATCTTAAGAGATAATAGAATAGGAATTAAAGAATAGAATAGTTCACTCTATTAATTAAGGCTCCGTCCGTTTAGAAACACATAAGATAAAAGGAAGATATAATATTAGTTGTGAGATAAAAATATGAAAAGAAATAAAATAATAGTAATAATTTTTATTTATATTTGGATAAATATAAGAGAGAAAAAAAAAATGATAGTATTTTTTGTTTAAATGTGATAAAGGAAAGAAAAAAAAAAAATAAAGAATAACAACTAAATTACACGCATGCTCTTTTAAATAAATAGGATATAGAGAGTGAGTCTCTACCTATATTTTTTTTTTTTCACTCATTTTAAACAACACAAGCATAATCTACACTATTTTTTCTTTTCTTTTCTTTTTTCTCACTATCCCTCCAAATCTCTCAATTCAAAGGTACCCTAAATGCAAAGTAAATTACACCGATCTTTTTGAAATAAACGTTTAACGATCTACTTATGTGTAATTTATTCAAAACTCAAAGGAGGTGAGCGTAATTTACATTTAAATACAATATCACGGATAGAACAACACTTTTTATCAATAATTCACTCACCAGTAAATGTAACATCATTAGAGGTAAGACTGCACTTTTTGGTGATGATCGGGTAGAATTGGGAAAAAAAAAATATTATCATTTGTGATATTTCTTGTGTTTTTCTAAGAAAGAGATATGGTAGGGTTTCCTGGAAAAGCAACTATGGAGACAAGAAAAAAAAGGTTGGATGAGTTGTACTCTTGTATTAAAGAAAGTTCTCACCGTCCGTGCCTAAACAGATGAGAGTGACCTATTCAACAATATTGTCTGTCACTTTTTGATTGCGGGTTCGACTTGATCTTGTAAGAATATATACTACGTGGAAATGACTAGCTACTACATTGGTTCAAAAGAAAGGATAAAAAGCTAAAGAGAACCAGGCATGCCATAAGCCTATACGTACGTACAAAAGGTGCACAACCCTTATCCAACAATTTTTAATATTTTGGTGAAAATTTATGTTGTGAGGTAGATTTATTTAGGTAGTGTTAATTGAACTTATCCAAAGATACTAAAATTTGTACTAAATGACCATCAAGTTCTCCAAAGAAAGTACAAATTCTTGTACTAATTAACTCAGTCGTTTTCATCGACCAAAAAAGTTCGTCTCAAAACTAATACTTGGCTTGTACCTAATTTTGCCATTATCTCACAATGGGAAAGTATCATTTATGATGACTCTCGTGACTGTGAGTGTTAACACATATATATAATTTTTCTTCTAATACTTATTAGTTGTTTACATTAAACAAATAAAATAATGGATGTGACCAACCCTTTTCTTCAATCCAAAGAAGCTCCACCAAATAGAGTTCCAAAGTCTTTGAGAAAGAAGGTTTCCTTCCCTACTACTTTAACTGACTTCTGGAACCACAAAAGCCCATTGGACTTAAACCTGTTTTGGACTCCACCCTCAAGTGCTGCTTCTAAGCTGTGTTCGAGGGAGATATCGTTGGTGTCTATGATAGAACAGATGATCTGAGAGAGGGGCAATAATTTATCCTACCGCAGATGTCAGCAGTTCAAGATTTCAAGTCCGTTTTTCTTAACTCATGACTATAATTCATCCTGTCGCAGATGTCATCGACTACTGGCAAATCTAGGGGTGGACTTGAGCCCACCAAAAAAAAAAAAAATTTATTACTACTATTAGCCCACCTAAAGAAATATTAGCCCACCCCAATGACAATTCTTGGATTCGCCTTTGCCCGTGATTATAATTTATCTTGCTGCAAATGTTAGCGGTTCAAGTCCGTTATCTCCAACCCGTAACTATAATTTATCCTACCGCAGATGTAAGCGGTTCAAGTCAATTTGTCTCCAACTCGTGACTAATTATATTAGAGAGGAGTTAGAGGACGTGCACATAATTCTTTTTCTTTTTTCTTTTTTCTTTTTTAAACTGGAAAAATATTTTATCACCAAAATGTTGAACCAAATGGTTTTTCTTTTTCTTTTTTTAATTATTATTTTTTTTTTATCATGGCAAACAAAGAGAAACGGCACATATCAAGCTAAACAATCCTGAGCTGCTATAAGAAGAACATTATGCGGAACATGTGAAAGAACAACATCCCTAAAAAGAGGACTTCTGGATAGCGCCGTTAAAGCATGAACCACCTCATTGCCATGCCTATACACATGGCGAAGACAAGCTGAGAAAAAACTCCGAAGCACCACATGAATATCAAAGGAAATGGCCTGAATATCAAGTGGTCCAGAATCGACATTCAAAACAGCACTTACCACCACCAAAGAATCAGATTCAAACCAAACATGAGAAAACTGAGAAGACAACGTCCAAAACACAGCCTTACGCAGACATATAACCTCAGCCAACATCGCATTAGAAGCTGGAAACAGACAAAAAACTACAGCCTTAAAAATAGTATTTGAGAAATCTCGAAAGACAACTCCACCTCCCCCCACGTGGGAAGATTGAAAAAAACACACATCCACATTACATTTAACAATACCTAAAGGGAGGCAACCAATGTGACAATGAAGATGAAGATCGTGAACGGGAGGAAAAATGAACCAAACGGTTAGACCAACTGCATGGCATGAATGACTATGTTTTCGGCCTCCTCCACTCAACTCACCAGTTCAATAAGAATAACAGGATTGTTTTATTTAATTTAAACCAATAAAAAGTCAAACAATGGCTAGATTTTAAAAAAATAAAAAGTTAAAGATGATGATTCTATGAATTAATCTTTTATATATTTTTGTTGTTTTAGTAGTGAACAGAATAACAGAATTGTTTTACCAATGTATTAAACTTATTAAAATATATATATATTACCACATTCACTACTAATATAATAAAAAAATATTAAAAATCAAAGAATAGTTAGAAAATTCAGACTCGATCTCTAGATGATATAATAAATCTCACCAATATAATAAAAAAAATATTAAAAATCAAAGAATTGTTAGAAAATTAAACTCTCCTAAATTTTCTAATAAATCTCACCTCCTAAAAGAGTGAATTTTCTAATAATTCTTTTGAATTAATCATTCATTTGGATAAATCTGCTTTGTTTTCTCCTTGAATTATATAATAAAGTTTGGTTGTTACTCTCAATTTTCTTTGTCATCCCATAAATTTTGTGCTAGTAAATTTAAGTGCCACTAATAGTTTCCAAGACACAAGTAATGGCCACGAACAACGGGTTGGCAATACTAAGACGTCAGGAAATAACGTGTATTTTTAATAATTCAATGGAAATTTGTACAATTAGCTCCTTTTATATATAATAAATTGATGATCCGACGGCGTTGACCGCTAAACGGGGAAAATGTCGTGCACTTCTTCTCTGTTCGGCTCTGCACTTCCCATCCCATCCCAGAAAACGAACACTCCCACCAAAATCAAACGATCCAAACCATGCAACGTCAGCCCTAGAATGTCACTCGACCCACCACCACCCTCACCCCTAAACCCAAACCCTAGCCCTAACCTCCTGAAGACCATTACCAGACTCCTGTGGGGCCAGTCCCTCCCACCCCAACTCCTCATCTCCACCGTTCGTTTAACATGGTCCACCGCCTGGCAGCTCATGATGTCTCAGCTCGCCCCCTCCGACTCCTCCGGCAGCTACACCAGACCCACCAGTCGATTTCGGGCCAATTCCAATTTCTCCCGCCAAAAACCAGGTAACCTTCACCTCTACGTCGGGTTACCTTGCCCGTGGGCACACCGAACCTTAATCGTCCGCGCCCTCAAGGGCCTAGAGGACGCCGTGCCCGTCTCGATTGCGTCACCGGGCATCGACGGTTCTTGGGTATTCCTGAATAGCTCTGTCCCTGACGGGAATGGACTTGTACCGGGTTCGGATAATGCAAATGGGTGTAAAACCCTAAGAGAGGTTTATAAGCTTCGGAGGGGAGGCTACGATGGCCGGTCCACGGTTCCGATGCTCTGGGATATGGAGAGAAAGGATGCTGCCTGCAATGAGAGCTATGATATAATTGAATTGTTCAATTCAAGTTTGAATGAATTGGCTCAAAATTCAGAATTGGACCTTTCACCTCCATCTTTGAGAAAACAGATTGAAGAATGGAATTCCATCATATACCCTACTGTCAATAATGGTGTCTATAGGTAATTATCAATGGTATGGAATTTAATTTCATAAAATTATTTAATTGGTAAACTCTTGGTCATTTATTTCATATTGAATTGTGGTGGTTTGATGCTGCAATTTGTAGATGTGGGTTCGCACAAAGTCAAGAAGCGTATGATACTGCTGTCAGTGAGTTGTTTAGTACGTTGGACAAGATAGATGATCATTTGAGCCGTTCTCGGTATTTATGTGGAGAAATGCTGACCCTCGCGGATATATGCTTGTTTACTACCTTGATTCGGTTTGATCTTGTGTATAATGTTATGTTCAAATGTACAAAGAAGAAGGTGATTGAATATCCCAGTCTTCATGGGTATATGCGAGATATTTATCAGGTACCAACTCGTCTTGTGATTATTATCTGCTTAAGGAGTTAAGTGGTGCTGACTGCTATATTTCCATTGGATTTTATCATTTAGCTCATAATGTGCAACTTGCCTTCTGAGATCTGAATGTATGTATGGCTGTGTCTTTGTGTTAAGAGAGCATAAAGAAGTGAATGTTTCATCTATTTCAATATCACCGAGACCTATTCTGAAGTTGGAATTACAATTATATTAGGCTATGTTCAGCCACATGTAATTGGAGCTTTGGAATTGGAATTGGAGAAAACTGAAAAGCAACTCAGAAAATTGAACCAAAATTTTCTCCAATTCCAATTCCAATTCCAATTCCAATTCCATGCAGCTGAAGACAGCCTCAAAATAAATAGATGTGGGATTGCAGATTGGAAAAGTATGTCATTAGTTGTATTTGAGTATTTGGGCTGTTAAATGAATTTTGATCAGAGGTTAAAGAACTAACAATTTAGTTTTGTCTTAGAAGATGTAGATAAAAGTGTGTGATTATAATCTACACGAGTTGGTGGTTTCAATGATCCTAAATATTTCATATTTTCCTCTGGTATTCACTTTTTGGCTTGACGAAGATCTAAATTTGTGGTAGATTCCCACCGTAAGCTGCTTATCTTGTTAAAACATAATTCAGATTCTAGGTTATTCATTTATTCACCAACCAGAGATAACTTGCTTGTCAGGAAAAAAGAAAGGGAAAGTCCAGTCCTTGTTGATAATTTGCACAACAGTACTAGCCATCGGCTTTAGGTCTTATCTCCTAATACTCCCTCCCACAAGGAGAGGTGCAGGTTCAAAGTATTTGCTAGGACTGAGTGTGTAAGTGTAAAAGATATGCACATCATTCTCAAGGTTCAAGCCCTGCTTCTTATCACAATGCTTGCATTTATACTCATCACTCCATCCTAGTCTTTAGTCTATATTTCCTATTTTGTTCCTTCCACCGGATAACTAACCGAATAATATTTTGGAAAAATTAGACTTTCGTGACCAAAATTAAAAATAATAGCTCAAAAGTGACCTTAAAGTTACAAAAAGATAAACCAATTCCAAAGTTATATTGCTCTTTAGTGACCTTTTGACACTAAATTCCATAAATACCCTTTAGTCTCTATTTTTTTGCAGTCACGTCTCTCTTTATCTGTTTTGTACACCAAATCCTCCTTACATTCAAATCCTTCATTCTCTTTACAGTTGGTTAAAAGTACGATTTTATTATGTGATTCTTCAATTGTCCTAAGCCACTTCACCAACTCTATGTTCTTTTCCCTGCAATTAACATTGTTTGCAGAGGAAAAAAATACAAAAATGGGTGCCCTCTCTTCCTTCTCCATCTCTCCATTATCATACCCGAAGCTCTTTCAAACACCAGCACCACCACATTTCTTTGTTCCCCACTATCTCCTCCATCAGAATCAAAGAAAACCCAACCACCATCACCACCACAAGAACAGAGCTTCAAGAAACATTAAAGCAGCAAAATCCATCATCATCATATATGAGAAAATCCTCTGATCTAATTACAAAGGCACCACCACCGTTGCTGCTCTTGCCGACAATCATCTTCTCCGGCAAATTCGCCCTTGCCTATGACTTATCAAAAAAAAAAAAAATTTCGCCCTTGCCTATGAGCTCCGGTCGACGAAGTGTGAGTTGATAGACGGCTCCCTCCCGGCGTGCCTCAATGGAGCCTACATCCCCAACCCGCAGTTCCTCCTCGGAGCCTAAACAAAGATCTAAACCGATTTGTTTAAAGATACCCAAAGGCTTTGGATAAAACCCAGATCGTGATCTTGTGCACTGGAGGAGAGAGAGATTGACCAGAGTGGTTGAATTGTTGGGATATAATGTAAATATAGCACTTTGACAGAATTGCCCTCAAATGGTCGCTGAAGAGCAATATAATTATAGGATTGGTCACTATTTATATTTTTGTAACTTTAAGGTCACTGTTAAGCTATTATCTTTAATTTTGGTCCCTAAAATCTAATTTTCTCTAATATTTTTCAAACAAAAAGGAAAGACACTAATTGCATTAGTTTTTGAATTGTTGATAGAACTGATTCTAACGGGAGAACCTGGCGTATGTATCCGGTTAGCAATCAATTTTTGCAGGACAGTATTACTCTTGGCAACCCTTGCATAAGAGAATAGGCTATTTTGGTGATACAAGTTCTATAAATTACATTGATGTATTGAATTATATAAATTGAATTTTTGGGTGTTATATTTGCTGCTTGCCTAACAATTACATGTTTATTTCCTCAACAGATTCCGAAGGTTGCAGCAACTTGCAATTTCGAAGCAACTATGGATGGTTACTACAAATTTCTTTTCCCACTAAATCCTGGTAACATTCGGCCGATCATGCCTTCAGGTTGTGAGCATGAGGTCCTCCTCAAACCTCATAACAGGGAATCCCTGTCAGTTGTAGATAAAAGTGTTCAGGTTTATGTCTAGCAAAACTAACATTCAATGCATGGTTTAGACATGTAAATTTCCTTTATATATATTATCAAAGTGTAATACTTGAATTTTGCTGTAAAAATTTTGCTGTAAACATCCTCCCACAATGAAAATGATCGTGGAACTACTTGCTACATTTCCGATTATAAACTAATTGTTATTGTTTATCTCAAATAAACTGCAGTTATGCTTGTATTGATAGAAATTGCATTTTAACAATTTATCTGGTTCTAGTGTTTGGGATCAAACTCCCCGAGTATAAATAAAAATCGGCTACATGAAACTGGAATGGCCTTGACATCATAGCCTGTTTATAATTGGTATTGAGATGGAGGTAGCAGGAATCCTTTCTTTTCTTTCCTTTTTTCTTTACTTTTTCCTGGGACATTGGTAGCATGTCTTATTGTTATCTCGTTATACTTCACTATATTTGAGCTGTTTTAAGTACAGCTTCCAAAAATTGGTAGAAGTTCTTTATGTTATAACTATTTTTTAAAAACAAATTGGCGTCATACTCATTGCTGACTAGAGATATTATTCGCATTGCTGCACCTTGCTGTTGGGTTCCTCCTTTTTCTTTTCTATCTGGATACAGAAGAGGGAGGAGGAGGTTGTTTACGGAGGAGGTTCCTAGAAGAGGGGAGATAAAAGAGGAATTTGAGATGAGTTGACGAAGGTTGGAGGCTCTTCGGCTTAAGATGGAGGATCAAAACAGTAAACTTTCATGGCATGGTTGATGCTCATAGCCAATCAAATCACAATGAAGATTATGGATTAATTGGAAGGAGAGGAGTCAGAAAAGGGATGTGAAGCTTGGGAGAGCTGAGTTTTATGAGACTCTATTCTGAATCTTAGCAAAGGAGATATTTGAATGAATCACTTGAATTGGTGACCATTGGGAAGGACACAGAGTGGTTAGAGTGGCCCTTTTCGGAGTAAAGAGGTGGTGATAGCTCCACCCTAATGGCATAACCAAACGACACTGAGATCACATTGGTACATTGTTAAAGATGATGTTATGATTATCTGTTCACTTCCATCATCAGCATGTGGAATTTAATACGAGCCTAAAATTCTGCATTTTGATTTCTAAGAGGGAGGAACATCGGATTTGAGCGGTTACAAAGTGGGCAGTGTGTACAAGATTCTTGAGAATATTAGGCAAAGTGATTGAAGTTACATGCTCCTATGCAGTCGAGAGATTTGTGTGGCCATCAGAACGGAACAGATTCACTTTAAAAAATGTGGAATTGTGTATAGATGGGTTGAAAAAAGTTGGAACTGTATTCGAGGAAGAGCTGCTTAGTATTTGTTTTGCTTGGAGATCGCTATCTTTTTTCTTCTTCTTTTTTTCTTTTTTACCAAGCAATTCTTCTTCTTTTTTTCTTTTTTACCAAGCGGGGAAGGATGGGGTGAGTCAAACCTGGACTCCCAATTGACTCAAAGAACTGAAGAAGTACCTCTACCAACTGAACTACACAGCTCACCCTGCTTAGACATCGCTATTGAAGTTGCAATTTCCTGAACAAGCAGCACACTGCCTTTCCCACCTGTTAGTTGCTACCTAACATCTGCCCTTTTTCCCTCATTGAAGCTCACCATTTTGGGCCAGTTGCCCTTACTGAAGCCAACATAAAGAAAAAGCATCTTGAGAATGCAAGGCGTATCAGATCAAGGAGGCAGGCCAAAGATAGTGGGTGATTCCTCTCTTGTTCCTCTAGAGGTTGCATGATTTTTGTGTGATCCGTCTCTGTTAGGATTTGGAACCAATTCCTTAGCAAGTAATGTTGGGCTTTGGTCAAATCGCCTATAGACCCTATGAACAAATTTTATATCAGCTCTAATTGGGAGATTCGTCTTCACAAATCAGAAGCAACTACAAAATTATAACCAACCTAAAGCTTATTTAGGTTCAGCGTGAATATGATTTTCAATGTTGGAATTTAAACAATTCAAAGGAAGGAGATGGCATCCATGTGGCCAATAATACCTAAGACCGATCCCTTTCCATGCTGGGTGGTGAAGGGGAACAATTTGAGACAAACTAAACAGAATTACTAGTCTGAAACCCATGTCCCAGCACTCAACATCAATCAGAACTTCAACCAAAATCAATATCCTCTCAGTTCTTTCACACGTGTATCCTTCAATTGGTTCATGTTTCCAAGGCTCCCAACTCCAACACACACTTAGAAACAAGCAATAGTACAAGGCTAAAATTCTGTGCAAATTACAATGGTGAAGCACAGAATAATTCAAAACTGATGATATTTTTTTAGAGCAACGTATAGAGAGGGTGCCTGTGTTGCATAGTTGGCGACTAGCACTCAAAAAAGGCCAATAATTCTATTAGCAAAATATTATACGCAATGTACCATACATGAAATGCACAGGACAAAATAATAATGTGTTCCGAGTTGCCAAAAGGAAAAGGAGGCAAAATGTTATTGATTCATGACAACATCCATTATGTAGATGGTTGCTCATAGAACATATCTGAATTGACCTCCAAAGGTTCCACCATACATGGTCCGCATAACCTTGTGCAGATTCACATAGATCTCAAAGTTTTAGGGTAAATCTAGAGCCAGTAGCAAAGTCCGACCAGTATCAACCAGTGTCACATTTCCCCACTGAGCAAAACATCAAAATAGCAAATCCCCTCAGATTGGAGGTTCATCTTCTAGTACCTCTGGATCTAGATCCTGTGTTACAGAAAACATATTGTTAGCAACAGCAAGAACAGCAAAATTTTTAGTAGAATGCAACCCAAGCACTCTGAGATCATTGAGATTCTATTATTGCATATCTACCAAATAACATTTAAAATCAAAACTTTTATTCCTAACTTGGAGGAACCAGATTTAAGGTGGCACACAAATGCCACAACCAGTAGGAACTGAAACATGCCTAGGACCCGACCAATTATTATAAACTCTGTCTTCCGCAGCAATTATCCTTCTCCATAGCTTATCATCCAGCGCTCCAAATCTCAAAAGCTATTTATCCAAGAAAAGCATTGATAATGATTGATATGGGTGGACTTATTTATTTATCATTTACATGGACAAGCCTTATCTGATTCACCAAGACATACTTGAATTCGTCACCCTCTCTGTCATTTCAGACGTCTCTTCTACAAGCTTTTACTCGACCAAATGGAGTTCAAACCTGGCCAAAGCAGCTAATACTAATTCATATCCGTCACTTGTTCTAGGCCATACTAAATCCTGCCATATCTTGACAGGCCAGACACATTGGGCATATGATAGAACAGATCAATAGCCAGAAGGCCCAGAACATAAGAACAAAATACTTAAAATGGCCTTGAAGAATATACAGAATTATAAGTTCAATTTCAGGGTCAATTCAAGGGGGTGTCTTCAACTCTAATTACACCAAATAACTCTGTCATTCCAAAAGAATTCAGTAATATATCGGAAGAAATCGGTCTCCCATTACTTTCTTCACCATCTCAAACTTGGAGGAAAAGGCAGCATCAACTTCACAGTTGGCATGCCAACATGTAGAGCATGGCATTTCCACAGAGGCCAACATGTGAACATGGCACCCTCACAAAGGCCAATGCGTCTCTCCTGCACAACACATGCAGCAATCCCAACGAAATGATCTCCCATCTATGCTTAACATAAGGACTGGTTTTACATAACACGTGATCTTCTTTGAAGATGGCATGTGCAAAAAGGATTAAAGAAATGTAAAATTATTAAATTGGTTCTTGACTTCTTGTGTCAAGAAGAAACCATTAGGTATTTTCATTAATACTCGCTTCTTTGACTTCTGACTTCGTTTTTTCCAGCCGGCGTAAGTTTTTCTTAGAGAATCTGGTAACTCATTTGCAACTCTTAAATTCTAGTTACAATTTGACCTTGATATTTGTTTCCACTTTCCAAATCATTTACACATTTGACAATTTCAAAATAATAATAATAATAACAAATTAACAATCAACCAAAAAACTCATTTGTGTTGCATAAAGAATCCTGTTTCACCTGCTTTTCTGACTTCTGATAACAACATAAATACCAATATCGTTATCATTAGGCTTTCTGACTCTACCTTATCTACTTGATTGCCTCTATGATGCATATTTTATCTTTTTACAGCATTTCAGCACCATATGTTTGTTGAAAAGGAACTTTTACAACACATCCAATCGAGTAGAACTCTCCAAAATTCTCATCATAACTTTTCATTTTTTTTTTTTTTTTTTTTTGTAAGTCATCATATACTTTTCATTTTTATAAATACAAATTGAGAATATTTCTAATAATTTATACTATAATATCCACTAAATTTTCTTCTGAGACTCTAAGTAATTCAATCTAATATACTTATATATACCAATGACACGTAATGGTATCACTGGCCAGACACATCATGCCAGATATAAGAACTTCAAACCTCACATCCTGGCAGATCTTAAGATACCCAAGGAACCTTAAAGAAACTGAAAGAGCATATATAATTATATAAACATGTTCACAAACACATTGATAAATGCTATTACAAGAGTAAAGTATTTTAGACACTATCACAAGAGAAAATGTGGCATTGCTGAAAATACAAAAACATAAAAAACCAATCCTCGTAATAGATAAAGAATACTTACTACTTGAACGTTTAATGTTTCGGCAGAACTTGCTACCACAGCAACACCGAAATGCCTTAACTGGATGATCATGATCATCAAAATCAATACCATAATCCTGCAGGCACACCATGCATAGCTTCTTAACATAGGACATAAGCATTGACAGAGTGAGGCATAAATTATTTGTAATATGATGGAGCATTCAACGAATAACAATGATACAACAGAATCGAAGGATGCAATTGACTGTATAAAAGCAACCACGCGTGTATTCACGATGCTAATCGACCAACAACACTCAAAATGATAAGATTTGCAGAGTACACTAGATTAAAATAAATCCATGAAACCATCTGTTACAACATTGATACCAGATGACTCTTGCATAATCTAGTTCTGATAGGAAAAAATGTCTGTACGATTGATGACTCCTCAGTACGATTGATGACTCTTTTCTCCCCTGATATAATACACGTATTGTAAAATGTTTTACTTCAAAAGATTCTAGCGAAATTTAGTGATCAAGTAGAAGGAAATTGACATCCACTTCTACAAGCTCAGGTAAGTAACTCCTTTAGAGACCTTAATGTCACTTCCTGCAGCTCTTGCTATAACTTCTTGTCATCAGACACCCTGCAAGCACTTATTGATAGAGTTGCATGTCATGATCAAGTTTTAGTTGTATCTACAGTCCTTTAGATTAGTTTAGAATGTTCCAGAATGCGAAAAGACTCTTACAAGAATGTCTAAATATCTAGGATACTTCATAAAAGGTTCCAGAAAGTCTTCTTATAAGAGGTAGGAAGTTTCTGTACTCTCAAACAATACTAGAACTAATGACACGCAATTTGTGTGGCTTAATTTCCACAAGCATTACTAGACATCTAACAAGTTTGCCTCTTGTTAATAACTCGTTTCAATGGCTCTTGACAGCAGTGCATAATATCTATATTACAAAAATATATGTCATGATCAATATTAATATCTACATTATAAATATAAGTCATGATTAATATCCGTATTATAAATAAGATCATGTTTTTCATGCATGATATTGTTTATAGAAAATCAGTAAGCCTGGATCGATTAATTTCCACAAGCATCACTAGACATCTAACAAGTTTCCCTCTCGTTATAACTCTTTTCACTAGACTCTAACAACTGCCTCTTGACAGCAGTGCATGATATCTATATTATAAATATTAGTCATGATCAATATCTATATTATAAATATAAATCATGTTTTGAATGCATGATGTTTTTAGAATAAATACTCCCCCTGTCCCATATTAATTGTCTCTCTTTGGTAGCATAACTTTTTAAGGGGACATGCAATTAATGCATTATCTCCTTTTAAAATTACTAAGTTGTCCTTGTAAATTTAAATATGTATATTACCAATTTAGAGGATTTTTGAATCCCTTAAAGGGTAATTATGGAAAGATAGCATGTATTTTGCTTTGACTTTTCAAATGGGACAAGTAATTTGGGACATCTAAAAAGGAAAGAGGGACCACTAATATGGGACAGAGGGAGTATATTTAAACAAGAAGATTTACAAAACAATAAGCCTCGATCAATCGACAATTTTCCAAAAAGTAGAACATACTGAAGTCAAGAATAGCTGGATAGATCATCCTGTGCACGAAAAGTTTTTTAAAACTTCTTTAAATCATAATCCTAGAGGGTTAGGTTTTCTTTTCTGATTATAACTAAGAAACCTTAATGTTGTGTTTGATAAACAGGAATGGAATACCCATTCCACCAATTTTTTTGTTTGGTAGGAAAATTAAAGTGGGAATGACCATTCCATGTCATTCCCTTGGAATAGAAAAGAATGAAAATCCATTCCACATCTCAACCTATGGAATGGCCATTCCATTCCCAAGAAAAATTAAAAATAAATAAAAAAATCACGTTCCCAAAAAAAACTCACGTTCCACCAGCACCACCAATGCCGCCGCCTTCAGCCACCACCACAACCTCCTTCCACCACCATTTCTTTTAAAAAATTATAGAAGAATGTTATTTTGTTAGTTTAATTTATTTGTCACTGGGGTCTTTTGAATAAATCAATTTGAAATTCATTCCATTCTAGGTTTTAAATTGGTCCAACCAACTTGGACGACTAGTTATTGAAGATCAAATCTTTGGATGGAGAAGCAGATTGCGTGATGAGTGGATCTATTGACGAACGAACTGTGTGCCTGGAGACTCAAGTGAAGAGTTTGGTGGATCAATCCGTGTTAGGAACTAACTGGGAGTTTTCTAGGGTTTAGAGAACTAATAGCCTAATTGCAAGATCTCTTTACCATAGAGTGGAACTGATTTACCTGGCGTTGGTCCCATGGTTTTTCCAATGTTGCTAAAATCGGGATTCAAAGTAGGATCGCTGGGGCCTCCATAGAATCAGAATCGTAGAATCGGATCAAGAATCGTAAGATTCTACCAAACTAGCAGAAAAACATTTCAAACTAACTTGTATCTCTAAAATATAGCAAGAATAAGTCCAAAACAGAGTAAACGTAAAAAAGTACCACTCCAAATATAATATATAAGAGAATATAGTGCTACTAATATATCCAAATAATTCAACTAATCAAGTTTAAACTTTCAGCATCAATTCAATTAGATATGAATTATTACTTATTAGATGCTGGTGCTACTAACTATATGAATTATTTAATTATGAACATAAACATTATACACTGAACAAAATTAACAAATTTATATCCAAAAACAAATATAGAACAGATTAACAAATTAAGGAACAACTGAATAAGAAATATCCATGCATAAATTAATTAGGAACAACTAAACAAGAAACCAAGAACATAAATCAATTAATCAAATGCCCATGCATGCTGCATATCAAAACCCTAAGAAATCAATTAATGAAATACCGAAAAAAGGAAAACAAACACACATTTTCTCATCTATGTATTTAATGTTTTGGGGCGCAAGACCGTTGGGCTTTCTTAATAAAAGAGCTCAACCCATCAAAACAATATATCAGCCCATTAACAAGGCACAAAGTAAAATCATATAGAATCGGTAGAATCTTACGATTCTACGATTCTGTAGTACGATTCTACCATACGATTCTTCCCAAAGGAGCGATTTTCATGCGATTTAACTCGTTTTGGGGGTCTAGGATCGTAGATCGTGCGATTCTACGACCTAGAATCGCAATTTTAACAACCATGGGTTTTTCCCCATTTAGGTTTTCCACATAAAATCATGTGTTCTTGTGTGGTTGTATGGTTAATTTACTTTTGCTCTCTATATATAACTGGTTCATATGGTTGCATTTTAAGCTAAATGATTAAAATTTATAATTCTGTAATTGTAGGACAAGATATATTCACCCACACCATCCCCTCCAGATCTATTTTGGGACTCACGCTTACACATCAGAGCCTCAGTTACGGTCCTTTGATCCTTTGACTCATCAGAGCCATATTATGCCAAACTCTAAATACACTTGTGTTTCTCATGTGCGCCAAATATAAACTTGATTAGATATGGATACATGTCTGATTTATGAACTAGCATTTCTACCAATAAAGTATCAAATAAAAATCGCACTTTATTTATCTCTCATCCAAACTATAATCAAGTATGCATTCATGAGAAAAACTTCATAGCAATATTGTAATGAATCAAAACCTACTTACCCAAGTTAGCTCTTCCAAGGCTTTTACCTTCCTTGTTGTGAAGAAGGCCAGCTGCATCAAGGAAACACACAAACTCCATTAGATAACTGGTGTACAGAATTAAGTCTACCACCAATTGTGGACAAAGCTGAAGGATGCATCACAGTATATAAGATATCATACATGATAGTAGTGGTGATCAGGAGTCTCCACTTCCACTGGGATCTCAACCAAGGTTGAATCAAAACATCTAGCAGAATAAGAAATATATTTATTCAATATCAGAACACAGATGAATATTCACTTTACAAATAGACAAAAACAGAAGAAAAAAAGGGGGGTAAATGGAAGAAAATAAAGAAAACTAAAATTTGACGCAATCTTAATGTAGGTGCATGAGAGAGAGAGAGAGAGAGAGGGAACAGCAGAAATACGGTAATTAAAGAAATTTTAATAAAGACATTTTTTGTCTTCTAGCTTAATAGAAATTATAAAATAAATACTTTAAAAAATATATATTGTGGATCGAAACTGATTCACCCTTCTATTCATTGTAAAGTATTGCCAGGGTTGTGAACCAGAGTGTAAAAGCACCATGGCAAAACACCGAAGATCCTGGGAACATCTCTATTATTGACATGAATTACAGTGAATTACCGAATTAAAAACCAAATTGTAAAAGGATAATGAACAACTAACAGGAAAGTTTGAAAAGAAAAGATAAATGTAATGAAAAATACCACATGTACATGTGTTTGTGTTTTTATAAATATACCTGTGATTAATAAACCTTGCAACATTTCCATAATATGTCGCATCCAAACAAAGAGCTTCTTCATCCTTTAACACTCCCTCTGAACTCCAATCTGCATCAAGAAGCACAGGATATGCATGTTCCTCAGCACTGGGGCTTCGCGAGACTCGCTCATAGAGCTCTGCATTGGTTAATACTTCCCCAACATATTCACACACAAATGCACCTTTTGGCAGGTCCTCAAGGGTACGAAGACCCCACCCTTTGCCTTCGGGTGTCATAAACACCTGAAACATAGAAAAACTAAAATGAAACAATAATAAGAGGTATATTAAGAAGTCCTTTTTTTCCCCGATAATTTCAAGCAAATGCACAAACCCACAATATTGCCCCTAGCAGGGCTCTAATGCCCATTGGTAGGTATATAAGAAGTTGTAGACACAAAAGTATCTTTTTCAAAGTCTGTCAAAAAAATTGTATATATGAGATGTTAGCTCAAATTTTGTAAAACCTATTCTGAAGAAACTGCAAAAAGATTGTTTTCAAAAGTTTGGTGCAACATATGCACAGGAAAGATTAAAAATAAAAAATAAATAAATAAATAAATATAAACATACAACTCCAGTCAAAACAGACAGAAAACTTTGAGATCGAGGCACAAATCTCACCTGCAAGTTACAATTTATCCCCCGCTGAACCACCCGATTACCACAATGTTTACTACAGCCACATTTCCACCAACATTCTTTGATGAAGTTCCTCATTAAGTGACCCTTGCATTGTTCCAAGATATCATCATTTTTGGATCTTATCAATGGACATTCTTTACAGTAATAGTGGCAATGATTTTGAGGGTCACGGTTCATAGAAACACACTCATCTAAAAAGTCCTCCTTAACAAGGCCTTCTGGTGTGTATGCAAAATCACCATGACTCTCGTGAGCACATGCACAAGGTGTGGACAATGATAGACAATCACCAAAACAAGTCGAACAAGAATTCTCATCCCCAATTCGAGCCAGAGAGAAATTCACATAAGCATTCTGGAAAACTACGTTTTGGGGAATATAATGAAACTTTGGTGGACAGTCACTGTTGATTTGATTAACCAGTGAAATCACAACTCTTTCTTGTCCTTTGGCTATGTCATTAACATCATGCAAAGACCTTATATTATCAGGGGTTTGTTGATGCTGCTGCACAACCACCAAACTACGAGAATTTATGTCTTCAAGGCAATTCTGTTCTGTATCAGTATCACAACCATTCCCAGTAATATTCTTATCAGGTTGTACACAGTCCTCCATACCTTTCAAAGGTGGAATTCTCGGAACTTGAGGCAGAGCCACCTCAGCAGCACATTGAATGTTGACTGATCCATTCAAATGACCAAATGGCATGTCTCTGGCACCTAAAGCATCCGGTGAATTAGATTTATTCAATAACTCAATAGCTGGTGTTACACCTATTCTTCCTTGTGATTCATTAGAGTCGCTTCCTAATTCCAAAAAACATTCGCACATATCTTTCATCAGTTTCTTCACAGAAAAATTTGGGTCCAGAAGTTTGTAAGATCTGAGGCATTTGTCCTCCACCAGTTTCAGAACTTCATCAAGACAAGGCATGTGAAAGTCAGGCTTACCTAGTGCAGAGTTACAACTCAAAGAAATTTTAACCTCCCCAAAGGACGAGGAAGCAATCTCTAAGTTAGCAGAAGATTCATCGTTGATGGTTGCAAGCTCAGAGTTAGTCCTTGTTTCACTTGGCGAAGCTGGAACACTCCCATTTTTTTCTTCGCCTACAGATTGAGATACTAGGGCTTCAGGACCATCTAATTCTCTGATTGAATCATTTCCATTTAAAGTATTTCCTTCGCACGATGGCTCTGTAAAAAATGAAGAAAACAACAACTGACATCATTACCATTTCATATTCAACAAAATTTATGTGAGAGCTTTGCTCTCAAGTTGAATTACTACTTGTCATTCCATGCATCTTATTGACGTAATAATCAGATATTTATTCGCCTAATTAATTGGTATGAAATAACTGAAAGATGTGGATATAACTCGATATCACTCGACCTCAATAGTATTGAAACGAAAATATTATCAATAATTTTATTAAAAAACCCTCAACAAACAAAATAAATAAATGAATAAATAGATAAATAATTGTGGGTGATTGAAGTAGCACCAATTAGAGATAAAATGAGAAAAAATCAATTAACATGGTTCGGCCATGTGTAGCGACGGCCAATCACTACACCGACAAGGAAAAGTCACATGGTCCTCACAAAAAATAATCTCAGGGTGAGGAGAAGACCAAAACTAATATGGAATGAGATAATTAGGAAGATATTAGATCGAGTAAAATGACCAAAGACGATTCACAGAATCAACCTTTAAATAGTTAGGAAAAAGAGGATTCACAGAATCAACCCTTAAATAGTTGGGAAAAAGATTTGATGAGGATTTAAGTTGAGATAAATAGGTCTTTCAAGTTTCAACACATCAACATGTGTCCGTGCAATGTTTGATGATTTCAGATTAGACTCCTTCCACCTACTTTGGCAGATCAACCACCTAAGTCATCAGATTGAAAGCTTACGCAATGAACGCATAAATCAAATAAACCAACAAAGTTTAGAATCTCAAGTGACCAAAGCAAAAGGTGAATCCAATGACCAAAATAAATTGAAATGTACAAACCTTATGGACTAGATAAAAGACCTATGTTATAACATTGACAGTAATACACTTGATTAGTCAGAAAATATAACATGTACCTGGATGAATCACTGCAATAGGAACCTCAAATTGTGGCATGTCATCAGTAAATGGCTCATCTTTTGGCTTGATCAATGCATGACTATTGGGCACTTTCTGTTTGGGCAAAAGAACAATGCCGGGATCAACGTTTGGCCCTTTAAAGAGCACTGCATGAGCTGGCCTCTCAGAAAATGATCCCTTCTCTCTTTGAGCAGTTTGGGGGGAAAGTGGTCCTTTTCCCTTGTCCCTGAGATGTACTGGAGAAGATGTTGAATCAAACTCGGTTCTCTTTGCTGGCTGAGTTCGGTCAGTAGCACCTGCTTGAGAAGGCTCAGATCTTTCCTGCACTGCCAAATGATTAGGCAATATAGGTTGTTTTCCTTTATTTCTGATAAGTGGGTGGGGTGAAAAAGGTTGAGATTCAGCCCTCGCCTTTTCAATATTGGAGTGAGTCTCTATTATGCCCTGTGACTGCTGCAAGGAACTAGATTGAGGTAGTTCCGGTTGCTCCACTTTAGGCCTTTTAAGTGGAGTTCCACCGGACCTGGGGCTAGAGTTACCCAAAGAGGATGAAACTGGAGCTTCTTGGTGTCTTAATCGTAACCTTTTTAAGGGACGTTCAGGCTCATCATGCCCCTGATCTTCTGAAGCCAAATTATCGTCCTGCTAGTCAAACAAAAGGTGAAAAGCAAAAATAGTTAGCGAGTATATGTATAAGGTCCCTACAAACAAAGGAAATGAGTCACGTACATCAGTATTCTCAATTTTCTTCTTATTTTCCGCAGCCTGAAAGATGAGATCAATAAAATAAAAAAACATAAACAAATGTTATGAAAAAAGATTAACAAAAAGAAAAGGAAGATGCCGTCTGGATAATAAAAGAACGAAATAATGAACCTTTGTGTCCTCGCAATCAAATATAGCGTCTGCCAGGGCCCTGTAATTTTCTTCTTCAATAAGTTCCCAATTTTTTTCATACAATTTTAAAAGATTTTTTAAGACGGGTTTCACTTTTTCTTCAGGAATGCCAATATCCCTCATAGCACGAAATGCTTTTGTAACTCTTGGATTGGGTGCCATTTCTCAACTCCAGCAAGTTTTTCCACAACAAGCTCCCAAACTTTAAACACACTTGACCCCTGCATTTTACTACATTTGTAATGAAACCCACATATGATACATTGTTGCATAAAACAAAAGTTTAAAAGATAGCATTCATTAACAACATGACATGGGATACACATTAACTTTGAACTAACATGAAGGGATGATGCAAATAAAGCGGCAGACAGCATATATATTATGATCTCACCAAAATTTGAAAGAGCCCAAATTTTGGGCAAGATTACTATCTATTCAAAGCACAGTAAGCACCTCAGTTTTTTATTGAACATTCTTTCGAAAAAAATAAAGAACACTGATGTCTTTTGTCTTTTTTCAATGTGGTCACAAAGAACTAAGAAATAAAAGGACAGATGAAATCGTTGATCCATTTTATCAGTGTTTCCAGTATTGCCTCATTTTGGAAAAAAGAAGTCAATCCAATTTAAGCATCACAGATAAATCAGGTGACCCGTCCCCACACCAATCTAAGTAGCTAATATGTCTTAAGGATGCCAAAATATAATTAAATAAAAATAGACATCGATGACAAATAGATATCATGTGATAATTTTCCCCTTTAAGGGAAAGCGACAATTACTATTAAAAATCCACAGCAAAACTGACAAATACAAACGAAAGTTCATAAATAAGTACATCGGTATGCATATACAGGACTAACTGTAATTGATGAACAAGGTGACTAGAGTAAAAATCATAAATATGCTGGAACAACGAGCAATACTGATGAAAGGTGTTTGCTGGAGTACATATCATCACTGAACCCAACACATGCGGGAACACATCCAAATAGAGTTGGAAAAATGACGCGAAGTATCTTTTGAACACTTCAACATAAAATTGCATGCATTGTTAACCTTGCGCTGGAATTAAAATGTGTCTGTATACTAGTTGCATTGCGCAAATACTACAATAGATGGAAAGGAGAATCATAGATGCACCCCCATGATCTTCTAATACTTAACATTTATAGAACAGAACCCCAAAACGGGATTAAAAAATAACTTGGAGGGCTTAACTGTGTAACCAAATAAGGCATCTAGCCAATATAAAAACCCTCGTCTGGAGAGGCATTATTGATATGAAATAACAAGAAGTTCAATTAACATAACTGTTAAACTCTATATACAATATACTTTGTAAGATGACTTCAACAAAGTGCAAAGTTGCTATAATTAATAAAAAATAATGAGGTTTTGGAGAATGTGATTAATACAATTTTTTTTTTTTTTTTTTTTGGTAAGTAAAAATTGTATAAAAGAAGCATTCAAAAGGGGAACGCATCCCTCAAAAAATACACAAGGCCTAATAGGGCCTCTAAACTCTCAGGGAGTCCAAAAAAATCAACTATTTCCTCCATGGATGAGCTGTGTGATCCATGTTTATTTATAGGAAAACAGTGTGTACCCCAAGTCCTAGTTTATGTACAACTCATCATTATTCTGTAAGCATTTTGGGGTGATTTTATGTATCAGTGAATCGGGCACCATCTTTTATACTTGGTTCTCGAGGGAGTTATGCACAACCCATCATTATTCAGTGTTCTGGTGACTTGTGAAGGATCATGTATTTGTGGCTCTTGTGACTCTTGGCGAGTTGAGTACAACCTATACCACTAGAGACACAAAGTTGTGTGCAATTCTTAGATAAATAATTGTCTTACGAGGAGATTAAGTAAACTAATGGTTAATCAAAGAGATTAGCGGGGTGATGAGAATAATAAGTTGAATAACTAAATAGAAAGATGCTACACATTAAACTTGGAGAACCAAATTTGAATTTATAATTAATAATTGAATTCAAGGACAAGGTGTTAGTGGCTTACCAAAAACAAAAAACAGAAAGAAAGGAAGGAAAGGATGTTTCTGACCTCAAATTTGTGGACGTGACAAATTGCTTCAAGAAAGAAAGAGGCACTGCATCAATCTGTCACACTATAAATCAGAACCCAACACACAGTAACAGACCAAGATTTAAGACACCCCAGCCCCGCTTTAACAAGTTTTGACCAAGCAAAAATAACAGATTAGTGTAAATACGGGTGCTCATCCAGCACTATGCCATATGCTACATCTCACCTTTAACTACAAATACAAGAAACAACAGCTGGACAATTTTACCCGTAATAAACCGCTCAAAATTTTCTTATGCAGACAAGTAAACCTAAGCAGCTAGGTCATTGCCACTCTTGACGCTATGGGCAAATAATAGAATTTTTTTCTCAATGGGCCAAGTCTTTCTCCCTACTTCAAGAGATTAAAGGCAACATATTCACTTTGTGACATTTTCCAACCTTTAATGACATAAATTTTTCATAAAAATGTTATTGCCTCTCTTGGATATAACTTATTATATAAGAGGGATGTACTGGTAATTACATTTTTACCTTTAGCACATAGTAACAGACAAAGATTTTAGACATCCCCGTCCTTAACATGTTTTAACCAGGTGGAAATATAAACATAGAACTCCCAAAATAAACATAGAAATCAATTAATGATATAACATCTCTATCTGAAATTTAATTTATTCCCAAAATATAAACATGGTACTCCAGAAAAAATAAGCAAAAAAGAAACAAACCTCAGCTAAGTGACTTTATCAAGCAAAACCCTGCCGAAATAACTCAAGCCATCAAAACCTGATTAATACAATAAAAACTAATATCATAATTAGGACATGCTTCAAATGTACAAAGCAGCATTCCCCATATTTGGCTATTAAAAAGATTTCGGAAAATAAATAGATAATCCCTATTAGTTGGGACCTTATGATAAAATAAGCCATCAATTAAATTTAACCCAAAACATCGAAATCCCTCATTCTTTTACATTCTAATTTTCAACCTTACGGACATCAAGGTACCAAAAAAAAAAAATGAAGTCAAATAGATTTTCTTTTACTTTCTCCGACTAAATTTTCTCAGCAACCAAACGGATGGAGTGCGAATGTGCATGTGAGTGCTCGAGATTGCATGTCCGTATATAGAGCTATGCAATAAATGTTGTTCCACAGGTAAATAGAGGTAATGTACTTAGCGACCCAAAACCCTTAAAACCCTAAACGATATTAAAACCAAAGTTTGAAAAAAAAATAAAAAAAAAAAAAAAAAAAAGAAAAGAAATCGTGGTTTGAAAAAAACATTCAAAGATTTCAAGCGTTCGAAGTCACGAAAATATTATTGCAAGAAAAAATAGAAAGAACGATCGACAAAAGAAAGAACAAGAATATTAACCCAAAAAAAAACGTTGAAAATGAAGAGATTGAGTACAAAAATTATAGATTCAATTCGAAGAACAACCTTACCAGCATTTCCCAATTTGGTGTACAGCAAGAGTGTTTTTGAGAAAGATAGGGCAAAATGACATAGCAGGTGAAGGGAGTATAGAGAGAGAGAGTGGGGCGTGTGCGTTTTAGAGAGAGGAGAGAGAGTGCGAGTGTGTGACTCGAGGGAGAGATGCTGTAGTTCGATACAACGTTGAACAAACTCAAAAATAGAGCGTGAGAACGCGCGGGTAGGGGAAAGCTTTGTGGTGGTGGGTCCAGCTGCAAGATTGATGATTTGGCGATAAAGTATAGTGGTGTTTAGTAGCGCGTGATATGAACGCGTACGAGCTATAGAGTGGCACGAACGCATCGGAAAGCTTGTAGAATCATAGATACGAGCCATACGGTATCTGAAACGGTGACAGATCAAGCATCGATGACTAACTTGCGCCTGTGGTGTTCGTACGCCAGATTTCAAACATAATTACCTCCCCCAAGCTGATATTGACTGACAATGGGGTAGTTACTTTGCCAAAAGAGGGAGACGACACTCATTGGAAATTCGGAGTTTTGAGTGAGACAAATCAAACGGGTGTGATTTACATTTCAATAAACAATACTATTATTACTTTTTTATTTTATTTTATTTAAAAAAAAAAAAATAGAATGTATTTGAATTTTTTTTTTTTTTTTTTCAAATTCATACTATATAATAGTTAGAAAAATATAACATTATCATTTTGAAACTGTCACGTATATGTTTTACTATAAAAAGAAAATGTTAACATATTAGCATATCTTATAAATTTCTAAGTGTGGATCGACAGTTAGGTTACTTTGTTAATCAAATCATCAAAATTAATGAAATTAGTCACTTAATTGAACGCTGAGTTGATAGGATAAAAGATGCAAAAAACCCTACAATAAATTTTTGGTCGACATTTTTAGTAAACATAGCAATCATCCATTTTGAGGGTAATATGCAAAATTGCACTCATTAAATTCAAGGTTTTTATTGTAAGATTATTATCTGCTAATTCTCTGCCCTTAATTAAATTTTTTTTTTTTTCTTAGTGAAATGATATATGTGTTAACACAAATAAAGCAATTTATATATTTGTTGATTATTAATTATTGTTATCACCAAACCATATATTATAGTAACATCCTTGTTAAGGAAAAAATATTCATTTCTCATTTTTTTTATATTTTTTTATTTTTTAACTTGAAATAAAATTAATGTAGGGTTGGACATAAATGGGCCTAAGACGAGTAATTCTTGTCCCACCAAAAATTTTCAGGAGCGTGAACGAGCTTGTGAAATTGAAATTACAATTTAACTTTGGTACAAATTTTTAAATATATATATATATATATATTTTAGTGAACAATGAACATTGAAATTTTTTAGACTCAATAAAACATATATATCAACCAAACTAAAAAAACGAATGAGTAATCCCTTTAACTTTGATATCCAACAAGAAGTAGCCCTTTAATTTTAATATCCAAAATAATCTTCCTTCAATCATTTTATTTCCTTTATTCGTGTTATTGAACCCTACATTCAAATACCAGCATCTTTAAAACAAGGAGATGGATATTCACTATTTGTCTTCCATGGAAATATTATTCAATAGAACTAGAACTATGACACCCCTAAGTAATGACTGATAGTTATGCAAGATTACAGTCCCTCATCTAAATTGTCCATTTTTAACGTATATATCACGTATTTCAACCAATATAACACACTTATGGCCACAAAGAGCAAGATAAAAAAATATATATATAACAAAAATGAGTCCATTAATACAAATTTCTAAAACTCCAAATATTTTGATTTATACTCCGTAGTTTCCAGTATCAAACTCATTTAAATTTATTAATAATTTTGATTCTATCGATGAACAAAATTAATACTCTCTCTGTCTCAAAATACATGTCATGGGGAATTCAACTTTTCATGATAGTGGAGTTTTAATAATTTTTTATTATATTAATAAGAGTGAAGTTTTAAATATGCCCTTACTAAAAGACAAAATAGTGCTCCGTAATTAGTGCAGTTGTTTAATTTAAAGAATAGTTTAGGAATGTTATAAAAAAATAGTATATTCAATTTTGGAATGGGACATGTTTTTTTGGGACATCCCAAAATGAAAAGATGGACAATTATTTTAGGATGGAGGGAGTAACACAGTTTCTTAAAAAATAAAAATAAAAATAAAAATAAAAAAGAATGAGTAACCCTTTAACTTTAATATCCAATAAGAAGTAACCCTTTAACTTTAATATCCAAAATAATTTTCATTCTATCATTCTATTTTCATTATTGGTCTTATTAAACCCTACCTTCAAATAACAACAACTTTTTAAAATAAGGAGATGGAGATTTACTATTAGTCTTCTATGGATATATCACCCGATGGAACTATGACACCCTAAATAATGACAGATAGTTATACAAAATTGTCTCGTCTCTCAGTCAAATTGATGATTTTGAGCCTATATACAAAAATTAGTTCTCTCTCTGTATGAGTGGAGGGTCCTTGGCGTTTTCATGCTTAGGGTGTAGGAGCTTCTATCATAGATAGTAGTCTCTGGATTTTCCTTTTCTTCTTCTCTTTCATCTATGATTCTTCTCCTTCTTTTCTCACTTTTCCTCATTCTGTTGGTGACCTCTTCGGGTTTTTTTCCCTTTTGATTCCATGGAAGATATAGCAACTAAACTTCAGGAATTTACTCTCACTCGAGAGGAGGAAAAAATTATCGATATTACGGCGGAGGCTCTTAATGTGGGTTACCGTTAATGCCGCCTCACCCTTTTTGCAAAATTGTTATTGTCAAAGTCAAAATCGGACGGGGTTTTGCAGAAGACTATGGGCCAGATCTGGAAATGTCCTTTTAAAACGCTTAAGATTAGTCACAACATGTTCCAATTTGTTTTTGATTCTGAAGCAAATGTCAATCGAGTTTATGACGGTTGCCCCTGGTTATTTGAAATGAATTTATTAGTTTTTATCTCTTGGTTAAAGCTTTCAAGTCCCATACTATGGTGGAGGTAAGACACCGAGAAGAAACTGGGGACCATACTTGCGAGTGCGGATCCTTATTGATATTACATCGCCTTTATGGTATGAAAGGCTTCCCTCTTACTTTATTCATGTGGAATTTTAGGACACCAAGCTAAGGGTTATCCAACCTTTCTCGGAAAGGGCTCACTCAATTATGGATCTGGTTTGCGAACTAATGACGACCCAGGGCAATTTGTAACAAGTTCTAACCCAAAACATTCTATAAAAGCTCACAATATGTCCCCTTCAGACTTCTCATCGGAGAATGACGATTGTTCGTCGAAGGGGCTGACAAGATGGAATGACGAGATAACCCTTGCAAAGTGTAATGTTAGATATTCAACCATTAATACCATAGAGCTTCCAGAAGCACCTTTCGGCGCTTTTTCATCACATTAAGTGACTCTTTTGGGTCCCACAAAGATTCATGCGGCGCTAGAGGATCCAGAACAAACTGTCATAAGGAGCTAAGGGACCTCTTTCGAGGACTCTTCTTTTTTTTCTTTAGGTTCGAACAATCTTCCTTTTGGATATGGGTCTCTGATTTTTAATTTTTCAACTAGCCCGTCAGGAAGCACCAAAGGGTTAGTTGCAAGCCCCAATTCTTTTTTCATCACTGCTACCTCCTTAACCATAAGGGATAATTTTCAACCCAATACGTCCCAGTTACTGCCCATTCGTACTTACTTGCCTGCCCCTAATGTACTAAAAGAGATGGGTGATAGGGATTAATCTCCTCCTTCGTGCCCAACGATCCAAAGGTCTCTCTGTCCAACGCCTGTGGAAGAGAAGGGCGAGATTGATTTCTTCAACCCAAATGACAATTATTAATTCCAATGAGCTGAAGCGTAAATCTTCCGATTTAGATGATCCTTCTAGGCTTTCCGATTTTAAAGTTTGGAATGGTACATCATCCGGCTCCTTTACTATGAAATTTGCCTACAAATAAATTGAAAGCTTAAATCCTCCTCCTATCCATTCAGTGGATAAATCGGAAAGCAGTCACATTCAAGAATTTAAACCACTTTGGAAAGATTTATGGTCCGTTCAAACATAGAAGAAGATTAAGTTCTTTCTTTGGCAATGTGCTCATGATAGACTCCCTACAAGGCTGAATTTGAGTAAAATGAGGCTTTTTGACGGTCCTATACGTAGAGTATGCGATGGGGACGCCGAATCTGCTTTACATCTCTTTTTTTTTGTGCCCATATTCCCAAATTGTCTGGAAGCTTAGCCCTCTAAGATTGGATTTTTCCAATTCAAATTTCAAATCATGGAATCATCTTTGGTACTCCTTGTCTGCAAGCTGGAAGTCTCTTCCTCATCTAGGCAAGCATTTTAGTCTAGCAGCTTTTATTTGTTGGCAAATTTGGAAGAGCAGAATGATTTGATTTTTAGTTCTGTTAAGTGGGATCCGGCTAACATTCTTGAACGAGCTCTCCATAATTTTTTTGAATTTTTTCACTTTCTTCACCTATATGGGCGTCTTCAACTATCAATGGTTTCTAATTCTAGACCTCAGAGTTGGTGTGCTCCCCCTACTGGAAAGATTAAACTTAATTTTGATGCAGCCTTTTGTAACAGCTGTAAAGAGGTTGGGGGTGGTCTCATTCTCAAAGATGATGGAGGTCGGCCAATACGTGTGGCATTTTTTTTCTTTACAGGGGTTTCATCTCCGGAAGTAGCAGAAGCTTTGGTTCTTAAAGAAAGCCTCATTATTTATTTATTTATTTATTTATTTTTTTTTATTTATCCTTTTGGGGATATGATTTTTGCATTGTTGAGGGTGATTGTTTGAATGTGATGTGCAATACCCCTTCTTCCCCCATCTTAGCTATGGTCACGTAAGAATTTTGACTTATCTGCTCTTCGCATCCTCACTGGTCCTTAAGTAGGATCCCTCGTCACTGCAACGGTGTTTCTCATAAAATTAGTCAATTAGTCAATGGGCACTTAAGTAGGATCCCTCGTCACTGCAATGGTGTTTCTCATAAAATTAGTCAATTAGTCAATGGGCACTGGCCCATAAATGTGGCGACTTGCATTGGTCTATTTGGCCTTCGTGGTTTCTTTATGCCATTAAGGAAGATTTATCTTTTATTTGCTCGGGCCCTCTTCACCCTGTCTTGTAGTTTTTTCTTTTTGATTTGAAAAAAAAAAAAAAAAACCCTAATACCACATAATTCAACCAATATAATACACTTATGGCCACTGAGGGCAAGATAAAAAAATAATAATGATTAACAACAATAAGTACATTAATACAAAGGTCTAAAACTTGAAATAATTTGAATTATAGTTTCCACTATCAAACTCGTTTAAATCTATTAGCAAATTTGATTCTATAGATGAACAAAATTAATAACAATTTATTAAATTTTGACTAAACTGTATCAAATAACAAATAAAATTAATGTCATGGCTTATGATATTTGGGGGTGGGGTAGTAGAAGATGAAGAAAGGATTGGAATATATGGATGGAAGGAATGATGATACGATGTTACACTTAAATGGTCACTCTGGTCGTTATATTTCAAGTCTAGTAATTTTTTTACCTTTTATTGAGTTTAAGGTCCTGTAAAGCATTTTTTTTTTTTCAATTTTGGTTACCAAATTTTAAATTTTCTTTTGTTTGAAACAAATTTTGAAAAAAAAAGAAGTAATACTAATCCGATCAATCCAAGTAATTTATAGATAAATAAAAGTTTATAATTTTGTATTTTTAAGATTATATATTATCTATATAAAATTAGAAATTAGAAACATTTGAATAAAAGATTACGCAGGCCTTTGAAAATTTTGTTGCAGACAAATGAAAAATACATGAAATTTTAAAATATTTGTATTCAAATTTAATGTGAAAATTCATTTTAAAAACGATTTATTGTAAAAAAATATATTTTTATAAATAAAAAAGGTTTGTTTTAATTTGGATAATAACTTAATTCAACACTGAATTATAAACAAGTTAAGCTATTGTCCAATTAAGTGCATTTGATAATGTAATGTGGATATTAATAAAAATGATAAATGATTATCAAAATGTGGTAAAAATTTTAAAATATAAAAAATATTTGAAATTAGAATTGGAGAAATTTTTTTCAATTAACATAGCCTAACCACTCTCCCACAGTTAAACTGCAAATAAAATGGAATATGCCATCCCAACAATTAAAACAAGCTAATAGTATCTAATAGTACTACTCCGTATAAGATAAAATTTGAACAGTCATCAAAATATAAGGGTAATATACAATGACATTATTTGAGGTTTATGTTTATAATTTATTACAGACAAATACAACCTGACCTCACACCCCGTAAATTTAATAAAGCTAGCAAAATCACTCCCAATTACATTATTGCCTTTTGATAATTTAATTATTGAAATTATCTATTTAACTTTTATAAGTTATTTTATTGGACCAAATTTACTCTGTAACAACGTATTCTCACATTAATAAACCAAACAACACCACCACCAACAAGTACTTAGGCATTCAGTAATAAATTTAAACACATATATAATTACTTGTAATTCAATAAAAATATATCAATAATTAAATTTTAGTAAAAGAAAATGTATAATTTATTTCAATAAAATACATAGCAACATTTCTATATCAAAATATATCAATAATTGAATTTTTGTGTATTAATTTATTTAATAATATAATAGCAGAAAATACTAACAATAATAATATAGAATTAGGAAATATTGAAATTAAATAAAAGGAAAATATAATTAGAGAAGGAAATATATAGTATTAAAAAACTTAGTTAATAATAATAATATAATTGTAGGAAATTTAATTAGAGAATAAAATATATAATATTTAAAAACTGAATTATTGAAATTCAATAAATGGAATTATATATATATATATATATATATATTTTACCATAAAGGAAATCTAATTAAAGAAGAAAATATATAATATTAAAAAAATATTTATTTAATTAAAAAAAAGAAATCGAATCACATATTGTAGTAGGAAATACTAAAATTTAATACAAGAAAATTTAATTAAACAAAGAAATATATGATTTATCTTAATAAATACATAAACAACAATACTATATCAAAATATATCGCAATAAAAATCCTAAACTAAAAATTATATATGCAAAATTATTTTTATTTTTTATAATTTATTTTAAATTTTTAGAATGTTATTTATTTCAATGAATAATATATTTTTATAATATTATTTATATATAATAAATAATAATGCAAAATTATTCTCATTGTTAGAAATATAAAACAAAATATAGAGCCAAAAAAATTATAAAACACTATAGATGAAAAGGAATGAAGAGTTTCTATTACTTCTTCTCTTTTCGATGTATATTCTTATCAGAATTCATTTATATTTATAGACAAATTTTCACTTCTAATTCGCTATAATTTTCCCTCACTTCTCTTTAACATCCCACGCCCGGACACACAATCCATTCATTTTCCTCAAACATACAACTTCATATAATGCCAGCAATGCATTTAATGATTGACCCCACATTTACTTATAACACTTACATATAATTTTGTCCTTTACAAATACATACTTTTACTTCTGCTTATATCATATATGTGTTTTATTAGTAATTATATATGCATGTAAATTTACTACCGAATGTTGAAGTAAATATTGGTGATGGTAATGGTGAAATTTGATTTATTAATGCGAGAATATATTATTAGAGAGGATTAGTTTGGTTTTATAATATGTGTTATAAAATTTAAAAATATAATTTAAATATTTAAATAGGTCAGTCAAAGCCTCAAAGGACAAGAATATTATTGGAATATTTTTGTTAATTTTATTAAAGTCGAAGGAGTCATTATTCAAAAGAGATCATTTTATATCTGCCTGTAGTAAGCCTAAACGTCAGGGCCTGTCATTGTAAATTACTTAAACTATAAATATAGGGAGAAAAAAAACGAAAAGATAAAAAGAAAAGAAAAAGAGAACGTTTTCGATTTGCAAACCTACTCCTCACCACCGCCGTTGGATAGAAAGCTCGACAGGGGAGGGAAGAGAAGAGAAGAGAAGAGTAGGGAAGAGAGAGAAAGAGTATTGGGGGGTGTTGGGGTTTTTGGGTTTCATAAACCAGTCAAGAACTGATGGGGAAGAGCGAGAAAACGGGGCTAGGAAGGTCCCTAGTGAAGCACCACAATCAGATGATCCAACAATCCAAAGAGAAGGGTCAATTCTATAAGAATAATCAAAAGAAGGTGCTCGAATCAATCACCGAAGTCAGCAATATCGACGCTGTCATCCAACAGGCCGAAGAGACAGAAAACCTCTTCTCCCTCGAGAACCCAATTCCCAATCTTCTCATCGATCCGTACGTTAATTGCATTCACAATTTTTTCATGTTCAATATCACCATGTTTCATGTTCTTTCTTTCTCTAATATCACCATGTTTCATGTTCTCTCTTTCTCTATATATATAAATATATCATTTAGTTCATACAAAAAAAAAAATGCTTAAATGAATTTGATGGGTTATACTAATGTTTGGTTGCCGAGGAGGAAAAAAAAAAACTAAATGAGTTGCAGATTATGTTTAGTGTTAGGAAAGGGAGGGAAAAAACACCTAAATGTGTTGTAGGTTTTGTTTAATGTTATTCTTTCATATAGAACAATTTCAAACTTCATTTGAAGGTTAGCCTGAAGGTTTTGCTGCAAATAAACCAAGCTGAACTCAACTAAGGCTAAGTCTGCCACTGTTCAATTGTTCTTCTAATAGACGAGCCATATTTAGGCTTAAGATTGGCTTGTTTACTTAATGAACAAAAACTAGCCAAGCTTGAAGCTTTTCTTGTTCATTTGCTGCCTACTTGTGCCGTGAGTTTCAACTGCCTTTAAAAATCATAAAGATGGCTATGCAGAAAATTAGGTATTCGATTATGATCAAAAGCATATGTTTTTGCATCATGCAGAGGTCATTATGTTTTAATTATGTGAGCATTATGTTTTAATTATGTGAGCATTATGTTTTAATTCAGCGTGCATTGTTAGGTAAATTTTGGCCTCCATAGTTGTCATTCTATACAAGCTTGCTTGGTAAATTTATCTCTTTCCTCTCCTATTTGCTTTATGGGTTGGGATTTTATCGAATCCTTATTGACTAGATTTAAAGAATTAGTTGTTTGGGCATTCTCAATGGAGAGGCAGCTAAGAGTTCTGGCCACCGGACTTGTGTTGATAATATGGATGATGATTCAGTCTCATTTTTTTGCATGATATTCAAATTAGTTTCTCATTATTTACTGCATTAAGGAGGTTAGTACTGGAAGGGACACGCTTCGACTCTGTTACCAAAATTGACAATTTTTATAATATGTGCTCCCTTGCTAATGTATTTGCTTTGTGTTTTATTTAATTGATCTTTAGAATATCATGACATTACTAATATATCTATATTTTCTTTCTTTCTATTTTATTTTTCTTTCCCCACTCCCAATTTTGCATTGACATTTTTAACTTTATGGATTAATGTTATCCATACTGTAGGGACGCCATAATGTTGTTTGGCTAAGAAAAAACCTTTTCATGAAATGAGGGTTGCAAAAAATGAAATGTTGGTATATATGTGTGGCAAGATAAGAAAAAATATAAAGTTAGAAATGAACATGTTTTTCGTGAGATGGTTGAAGTAGCACTTATTGGAGGTAAAATGGAAAAAACCTATTAAGATGGTTTGGCCATGTCCAGACAGCTGTAGTGGTTAAGAAAAGTGATGTGGTGTGGTGGTTTTTGAGGGTAATGTTACCGGAAGGGAAGACCAAAACTATTATGAGTTGAGAGAGATTGGATTGATATAATTAAATAATGTTTAATTGAGGCTATGACCATGATGAAACAAAATTATATCTGACCTTAAATAGTTGAAAAAATGCTTTGTTGTGTTGGATAGTGGTGTGGTGGTTATTGAGGGTAATGTTACTGGAAGGGAACACCAAAACTAGTATGAGTTGAGAGAGATGGGATTGATATAATTAAATAATGTTTAATTGAGATTATGACCATGATGAAACAAAATTATATCTGACCTTAAATAGTTGAAAAAATGCTTTGTTGTGTTGGATAGCTTGAATATTATGACATGACTGATATCTCTATAATTTTTTTGATTGCTATTTTCTTCCACCACAACCTGTTTTGCATCATACTATTAATGAAGGAAGACAGATTTACTTGTTGAAAATATATTGCAGATTTATTTGCTTAGCATTTATTTATGTGTAGATGTTATAGATTTACTCCCTAATGGTATTGCAAATATTGTTTCAGCATATTGTGTTCCTTGCCATCCTTGCTTCTTCTTGAGGCCGTATAGTTGTTGTATCTGTCATAAAACTCATGCCTATTAACATATGTATGGTCTTCTCCTTGTCACGCCTCCCCCCACCCACCCAACACACGCACTAAAAAAACAAAAAAAGTTTCCCTATCCATGTGCTTGAGTGGATTATTTTGTAATGCCCATGGCTTGATTTATGGGTGTAGGGACTCGAGTTCCAGCATCAGCAACATGACACCTGAGGAGAGGAGAGAACAACAGAAGAAAGAGGAGGCGTTGCATGCTAGCAGTCTACGTGTTCCACGCAGGCATGTATTTCTTATGCCTAAGGTATAGGTCCCAACTTTCTAGAGTATGTGCAGAATCTTGAATTTTTTATTTTTTTTCAGGCCACCATGGAATACTAAAATGTCTGTGGAGGAACTCGATTTCAATGAAAGACAAGCTTTTTTGGTCTGGCGTCGCAGCCTTGCAAGGTTAGGTTTAGGTCATGTAATCATGTGATGTTTGATTCAGGCACATAAGCAAACATTTAATGAAATATATATATATTTCAATTATTATTATTATTATTGTTTTATTCACTATTTTATGGGTAAATGAAAATTAAATATTGGTCTTTGTAACACAGAATCATACATATCATGCTACATGTTACAAGTTGCTGGGGGGTTACAAGGGGGAGAAGGAACTAAAAACTGTTTAAACTGCTTCTAGTGGCCTCTGATACAGTTTTTACTTATAAAACAACAACAACAACAACCAAGCCCTTTTCCCAACTACTTGGGGTCAGCTACATGAATCCTATGTTTCCATTCCGCTATCTTTAAGGCCATATCATCCATCAATCCGCAGGCTATCATATCCACAGTTTTTACTTGTTAAAAAAAATACAGTTTTTATTTCAGCTTTCCCCAATGGTAAAAATTAGGGTGTGCAAGAGGAGCTTCGAGGGACTTTCTTCCAAGGGGTAAAAGGACCATTTTTTGAAAAAAGAAAGTTTTTTACATGATTAGTTTAATATGGGGGAAATAAATGAGCTGAACATCTAAAAATATCAGTGTAGGATGACCCAATGCAATTTAATTTTCTTCTCTCTTACTTTCTTGTTGAAGGAAGTTGTCTTGGAAGAGAGGAGGGGAATGTTTGTTTTTAGTTTTTTGGGAAGAGGGTTAATGAAAAAAACGAGGTTACCATGTAAAGATATCGTCCGAGGATGACCCAATTCAACTTGATTTCCTTCTCTTTTACTTTGTTGCTGACAGAAGTTATCTATGCGGGAAAAAGAACTTTTCTTCAAGATTCGTTACTTCTTGAATTATTGAAGATATTATATTCTTTGATCTGTTAATTAGGGCTTATTAGTTGCCAAAATTGAATCAGAATTCATGTTGCAATTTTCAATTTTATTAAATCAGGAGTTAAGGTGGAATAATACTTCTTCTTGGCAAGGGATGGAATTATAGTTCATTTGATTGGATGACACTAATATCTTGATTCTTGCAGTATGCGGTAAGAATTTTTATCCAAATTTTTAATGAAAAGATTTAAAATGGTCAAAAGTAAATATAAGAAAAAAAAATTCAGATGCGGCTATATGAATAAATCTGGAAATGGAAAAGCTTCAGACCAATCAGCTATTGATGAACAAATTGAACTACTTTGGAAGGAACCCAAAATGTTTGGAATGTTTGTGATATACTGACATATGATACGGAATTACTTAGGTAGCAACCCAAAACATTTGGAACATCATGTGTTTATACGAGAGGAGTCATGGGAGGCTTTTGCAACAACATTTCATAGCTTCAATACGTCATTTGTTTACATTTTATCATTGATGCTAAGTTTTTGTTGAATAATTCTATGATAAAAATTCATTACATGAGATTGATTGGTACAACATTAACAAAACAAGTGGTTATTGTAATAAAGAAACTGTAATGCCTAAGAATAGGTGTAGGGTTATGTTATTTTCTGTGCTTTTGTTGTTCGCCACTATGAACCTCTTCTTCTTTTCTGTGCTTTTGTTGTTCCCCACTATGAACCTCTTTGAATTTTATTTTTAAGTTAAACAACATTTGAACAGTTAGTTGATATACCTATTTTCCATTTCAGAAAATTGAAGCATAGAATCACAGTTTAGTTTCTTGTGGCCCACTTTATATTGGGGTTGAGCAATTTCTGATTCTGAGCCCCAGTTGTTCCACATGCCAAGTGAGAGCTTATGCCTTTTAATTTCCCTATCACTATAATCTAATGATAATTTTTTTGAAAAATCACTTGGTCTTTGTTTCATGCATATTCTTATTGTTATCTTTTATTGTTTATTTATCTTTTATCTAATTTGAACTCTTATATCCTGTTCGATTTCTTCTCGTTTTGTTTTTAATTTTTTATATTTTTTATGTTCATGTCCTTATAATTATACCCTCTAAGCAAATTATTCCTGCAGACTTGAGGAGAATGAGAAGCTTGTTCTTACTCCATTCGAGAAGAACCTAGATATCTGGAGACAACTTTGGCGTGTGGTTGAACGCAGTGATCTGGTAAGGCCATGTCGTGTTTTAGAGAATTGTATATTCTGCACTTAAAGAGTGTGCTTCTATTTAAGTGGATGTCTGCTTTGTAACGCAGTTCAATAGATGAGATTAGAAGAGTATAAAACTCATGTTTGTTTATGTTTTTTCTGCTTAGAGGAAAATGATAATTTTGATGTACTCTGTGTTATTTGATACCTTCTTCCTCTATCATTCTTTTGTTCTTTTCTTTTATATGTTGTTATTATTATTTTTTATTTTCATGCCTAATTGGTCCTCTTTTCTCCTCCGGAGTCTCTCTCCCTCTCTATAACATATATTTAACCAAAAGAAGTTCTTAAGAGAATGGAAAAGCAATCTCCAGCTAAAGAATATAATCTATCTGCTCCTTTTCTCGGTCCCCACACCCGCCCCCCCCCCCCCCCCCCCAAAAAAAAAAAAAAAAAAAAACTCTTCCAGTTAATTAAAGCTTCAGTTTTTTCAATTTTGTTTTAGCTGATGGTGAAGTTTGTTAGTTCTACTGATCTTTCAAAGTTGTTTGGGTTGCGATACTTGCTGGAAAAAAAAAAACTTTTACTTTTCATAAGTGCAAGTTCCTGAGAACTCTTTTATTATGTTCCTTTTGTCAAATTAGTGCTTCAGAACTTGTGAAGTACCATGTAATATTCAAATATTACATAAAGACGTCGTTTTACCCTTGTCTGTGTGTCCTTGGTTTTGGAGATTTGATAGATCTGACTCTTAGACATAACCACACCAGACATTTGTACATGAGTCTAGGTAGGAAGGCTAGATGCTAGCTTGGGCTTCTTTGTTCTGGGTTGTCCTTGTCCAACCCTTTGACCAGTGATGTCCTGGTCCTGGTCCTGAATTTTTGACATTGGGTTGTCCTTGCCCTTCCCATTTACCATCTCTATTTGTAGATAGCAGTTTATCATGGAAAACAGGCAAAGCTGTTAACAGTTTTTGAGTAATAGTGTTTGTTAGAGCAGATTGCATACTTGGTAGATCACACATCCTTAATATGTCTCACAATGGATAATATTATAGTGTTGCAGAGGAGAAAATGTACCATGTCGTTGGCTACCCATTAGAAGGAAGTTTTATTATATAATATTAAAATATCAACCGGCAAAAATATTGCAGCACCTTATTTGTTTTTGCTGTTAGCAGAAATGATGAATTATTTTCTGCAGTTTTATTTTTTATTTCCTGAATGGGGGTTGTTGTATAAAAGAACTAAAAAGTACAGAGATTAGTGAAAGGCATACCTTCACAGTATATCATAGGAAAATAATAGAACCATTTCCGGTACAAAGATAAAAGAAAACTTAGAAGAAATGTAAAAATGGAAACAGGACTACAAATCATGTGGAAGCAACAGTCCTAACAAGTGCTAGCATTCCCAAAGGACTATAGAACCATCATGTTCTGCCTTATTATTTTTTATATTCTCTCATTTTTGAAGCATGAACATTTGAATTCCTGTTCATGCCTTTTCATATTTACCTACCCCTTTTGTATTCATCCTTCTCATGTCTATCTGGTGAAATATTTTCTGATTAAATGAGATAGGCCGCACAAGTTCTTTTCTACCCAACCTGGCATTAGTATGGTGTCTTTAGGAGCCCGAAGAATCGAGAGGAGAGGGTATTTTAGGTAGCTGAAAAGTAGAAAATTCTTTGTTCAGATCTTAAAAAAAATATGACAACACTCACTTCTCACTAGTAATAGAACTAGTAGAAGTACAAAATAAACTCTTATAACTCCGACAATGATGATGAAGATGAGAAGCGTTCTATGCAATTTCCCGTTGCATATGAGTTATCAGTTTAAGAGTTGTCTTAGAACTGTGATGCATGCTAGATCCTCCAACTTATTTCAGTTTGCATAGCTGATACTTAGAAACTGTGATGGTTATTCGTATTTGGTAAAATTTTTCAGGCTGTAATTTTATTAAGCATGGATCTCATCAGTTTTTCATGTTCCATCCATTTATGTATCTTTTGCTCATAAGTCGTGATCCGCATTCTACTCATGAAAAGTGGACCTCTTAAGTATTTTTCTCCATTGAAGAGATGTTCAATGCAATTTCCATAGAAAATAACATTGAAGTCCAGATCCAGGATCAAAGCTATCCCAAAAAATAGCCCAAGAAATGACCAGGTGCTGATGACGGATTTTTTAAGTTATCCTTAAAAAGGTGTTTACAAATTTTAATCAGCCATTGATACCCCCTTCATATAAATTGCATTTGGATCTTCATCTTCCTCTATTTGTTATTTTGTATCTCTTTAGTTAATTTCTTATTACAAAGTGTAATAAAAAATGGAGATCAATTTTTTTATTAATTGGGAGTTGAGGAAACAATCAACAATCTCATATGAGCTTGGTTAAAGTGGTCATTCAAAATTTTTCCCTTCCTTTTCCTTGATTTTATAAATTTTGGTTTAGTGTTTCTTTTTGGATAGTTGATTGACCTTGTGTAAACGCTGATCTCTCTCTCTCTCTCTCCAGCTTGTGATGGTGGTTGATGCACGAGACCCGCTTTTCTACCGTTGCCCTGATCTTGAGGTAAGAAATTTATGTTTCTAGTTTAGACACTGCTTAAATAGAGTGACAGAATAACATGGCATATTTAGGAAAAACTTTTGGCAAATTATTCTCTAAAAAATTTGGAGGATGCAAGTATATTATTAACCAAAATCTAATAGTAGGTGACATTCTACACACACATATTAAGCACATCTTCAGAACTTTGGTACTATAAAATGCAATGTGCTGGTATTGTTTTATTTATTTGTTATTATTTTTATAGCTGTAATTACATTAATGACTTTAAACTTTACTCAAGCTTTAACCCGCATGGGTGGCCCAGTGGTTATGGGTTCTCCTGGGGCGAACTGTAACGCGGACGTACTGGGTTTGACTCTCACAGGGCGCAAGAATACCTTAAATGATATGTGTGGTTTGGGGTTATTGCACATATTTGGGGTTTGCCTTGTAGTCTCGTGTACTAATGAAGACCACCGGGTTGGAAGGGTTCCTTGTTACCGGGGGCGGGGGGGGCCCGGGGACTTCTTTTCAAGCTTTCATTTGAAGATATAGCATTATGTAGCAGTACCTAAATTTAATTGAAGGGAGGATTGTACATTTGATCTTAGGGAATCTTCTTTGCCCCTTGCACAAACTTGAGCATTTGTGGTGCGAAGGTCATCAAATTTCTTTGCAACATGTCTTTCCTTCTTTCCATAAACTGTTACTTTTATTTTCCTTTTTGTTTTTTTTAATTATAAACTAGAGTGAATGTGATCTTTTATTATTCTCTGACAGGTGTGTATTTGTTGCGTTTGTTTAACTAGTTGTTGCTTAACCAAGATATTTCTTAGAGCTTGAGAATTTTCCTTCTACTCTAATATTAGCTTCCCTTCTCGTTGTTAAATATAAGAAAATCAGCATGAAAATCATTGCCAAAAAATCCAACTTGACAAATGGAAGATTACCTGTATCTTCTATCTTATGTTCATTAGGTATCTTTGCTCTCAGAATTAGCTATTTATATAGTTGTATCCATTAACACATTGCTTTTTTTATGTGCATTATTAGCTGGCGGCTGTATTTTCAGAATTATGATTTATGTAGTCATATTGTTAGCATGTTGCCAGTCATCGTGAAACCCATTACCACCAACTGTTAGCTTCAGTTATCTCTCTTGCCAGTCATCGTGAAACCCATTACCACCAACTGTTAGCTTCAGTCATATCTCTTGCCACCCTCAAGATAAAGTGCAGTGTTCTAGTTTTGCTTTCGACAGTGTTGTACTTGTCAAGAAAAGTAACTTTGAACTCCATTAGGATCTTCTTTTACTTAATCTGGGAGTTGTAATCGTAAAGGTCAGACCCACTACTTCTTCACTTAGTGGCTCTTTATTGTAGTTCTCAACTTCTCGTAACTGAATTCTCTTAAACGTGTTCTTTGATAAAAATTTGATGACACGGTGCTTAAGTCCTTTTTATACTTTTAACTGGGTGGGGGAAAAAAAAACGAAGAATATAATTTTTGACCTTGATTTCTGTTTTATACAGCTCTGAGAACAATGAACTGTTATTAGAAATTGCTCCAAATAGACCCTAAAGGATGGCGAAAACTGGAGGTGTTGAAAATATTAAGAAAATCACGTAGAAGGAATTATCTATACTCATGTAGAGGAGGGGGGCCCACCTTTTAAGATTTCAACACCTGGATTCCGTAGACATTCACATTCACATTCACTGATGAATAGTTAAGGTAAATAGGTAAATGGATCTACTTTTGATTAAAGACAATGAAGTTTGATTTATTTATTTATTTTTTCTAAGCACGCGTTATTAAGCAGCCAAAAAGGCTAAAAACAATGAGGAAACCCTCCAAACAACAGAACAATTAGAAACATCCACTTCAAAAAATTGGCAAGCAGGGAAAGAAACAAGAAAAACCCACAAAGGGGAACACGGAACAAAGAAGGTAGAGCACAAGCTCCTAAACAATCCAACAAGAAATATCAAACATGGACACAACACTCAGTGACTATAAGTTGAACATTCCCACCAGATCTTGTAGATTAATGGCCAGAGTGTCTGCAACATTCCAAATAATTTGACGAGCTGTCTGAATAGGATTGGCAATAATTTCATCAAGAAACTTTTGATTCAGACTCCACCAAATATGCCGCAAGGTATATGTAAATGTTAGTTTCAGCAATTTACTGCAGAGATGCTTGGTAGAGATTTTAGAGACAAACCACTCCAATTTATCAAAGTTACTGACAGTACTCCAGTCTCAATTGAATAGCTCGGCTAGCCATCTCCATATGGTTTGAGCAAAGCTGCAATAAAAAAATAGATGGTCTCTAGAATCAGAACTCAGCATACAATTATGGCAGACAGGAACCACATGTATGCCTCTATGCTGCAAATTCACCAGGGAAGGCAACTTATTCTGTATGGCCTACCACGAAGATACACTTGCAGCTGGCCTCCTCCTTTCCTCCATTTCTCCATTTGATCTAACATGGAGCTGATTTCATAACCAGACATATTGACATGATATTGATTTTGTTCAAATGCAGGCATATGCACGAGAAATTGATGCGCACAAGAGGACGTTGCTTCTTATTAACAAGGCAGATCTTTTACCATTTTCTGTCAGGTTAGCATCTTATATGTTAAATTATCGACATTTCTGCTGCTACCTGACAACTTCCAAATTTTCCCACATCTTAGACCTTTTATATCTGGACATAATTGCAGAGACAAATGGGCAAAATACTTCCGCCTTCATGGGATTCTTTTTGTTTTCTGGTCAGCTAAGGCTGCTTCTGCAGCTCTTGAAGGAAAAAAACTTGGTGTTCCGTTAGAGATGCAAACTAACTGGCAAGAATCAGATGGCGCTGATACAAAAATATATGGGAGGGAGGAACTTTTAGCCCGTTTACAGTTTGAAGCAGAGGAGATAACCATGATGAGGGGGAAATCAGGTTCTGGTGTTTCTCCTCCTCCTCATGCTCATTCTCTTGGTGAAAATGTTGCAGGAAATACAGCATCTAAAAGTGTAGTAGTGGGATTTGTGGGGTACCCTAATGTGGGGAAAAGCTCAACTATCAATGCTTTGGTAGGTGAGAAACGGACAGGTGTCACCTCGACCCCAGGGAAGACAAAGCATTTCCAAACATTGATAATGTCTGATGAACTAACACTATGTGATTGCCCTGGATTAGTATTTCCATCCTTTACTAGCTCAAGATATGAGATGATTGCTTCTGGAGTTTTGCCAATTGATCGAATGAGTGAGCACAGGGAGGCTGTACAGGTTGTGGCAAATAGTGTACCTAGACTCATAATTGAGAATGTCTACAAAATTAGTTTGCCAAAACCCAAGCCTTATGAGCCACAGTCTCGTCCCCCTCTAGCGTCAGAATTTTTGAGAGCTTATTGTGCCTCTCGTGGGTATGTTGCCTCAAGTGGGCTGCCAGATGAGACTAGAGCTGCCCGACAAATTTTGAAGGATTACATTGATGGGAAACTTCAACATTTTGAAATGCCACCCGGATTGTCAAATGAAGAACCTGGCATGGAGGATGCCACCACATCCAGCTTGTCCGAGATGCATGAATCAGATTCATCTGATGCTGAAAGCGCTCCAAATAGTGAAGGTGATAGTACACCCATTTCAGAGCATGTACTGAATGATCTCAATTCGTTTGACATGGATAATGGACTAGCTTCCAAGGAGGTTATGGTTAAGAAAAAGCCTGCGAAAGCATCCTATAAACAACACAAGAAGCCTCAGAGGAAAAAAGACCGCTCATGGAGGGTTCGGGATGACGATGGTGATGGGATGGCGGTTGTTAGAGTCTTCCAGAATCGGGAGAAGACAGGTCATGTGAAGGTTGGTTAGTACCAGGTTAAAGCTACGGGTATAACTACATCTTTTTTTTTTTTTTTTTGTTTTTGTTATCATGCTGGTCCAGCAAAGCCATGATGGCTAACAATATGGTGGTTCTACTTAAGATGGCTCTGTATTATTAGAACACCTACATTTGTTTGTAGTGGGTTGTTGACAACTTGTTTTAAGGAATGGTGTGGATAATGATGGTCAGTATCATATTATAATTCTATTTTTTTTTTTAAATAAAAAAAGAAAAGTAAAAGTAATGAAGAAAAATATGTTCATATTTTTGTGGCAAAGAACTTGTTTGATGGGGGCTTCAGAAGGACTTCCTAGCCCTAGGACTTCCTAGCCCTAGAAGTCTTCATAAAAAAAAATTGGGGTGTTTGTTGAAACAGAACATTTTGCAAAAGATGGAAGTTGGAACTTGGGATAGGGTAGGTGAAAAAATGTGTGATTTTAATTCCCCTTTGTAACCCATTTTTCTGATAAAATATATCATCTAATTTAAATCCTATAATTGGATTGTGTTTTGGGACCAAATCCAAATCTTAAGAGAAATCATACCACTAGAAATTAATCGTAAGGTTTTACAAAAGATGTGCTTGCAGTCAGAGAATTGGATTTTGATTTGGGGGAAATATGATTGAAGGTAAATTAATGAAAAATCTGCTTCAGGTACACGTAGTTGGTTTTAATGGTCTATAAATTAGCTGAATTTTTCAAATAATAATGATGATAGTATATGTGAAAATAATTTAAATATACCTTTTCTAATATAAAATTAATGAAACGGTTAATTTTATATTTACATATAGCAATTTCTAATAGGTAAAGAAACACTCCTAAATATGCTTTCTGACCAAAAAAGACACTATTGGAAGATGTCAGGGATGTTTAAATATGGTGTAAATAGGTCCCTCTGACAAATTTAAACCCTAAGTTAAATAAATTACCCCTACTTAACCTTTTTATAATATATATAAAAATAAATAATTTTATAAAATGACCGAAAATTACACTATTGGAGGACGCTGGCAATGGACAAGTAAGATAAAAATAAAAAATAAAAGTATAAAAGAAAAGTAAAGATAAAAATAAAAAATAAAAATAAAGTGTAAACTAAAGTAAACAAATTTTTTCCAAACTCCGAAAACCTGCACACTGATATTGGGAAATTTTTTTTTTATTTGTTTAATAGTGTTGGTACAAAAAAAAAAAGAAAAAAAAATTAATAGAAAAATGTAAATTGGAATCTCGAAAAATTTAAATCCTTATTTTACAAATTCTCAAAATTTAAAAAAAAAAAATGTTTAGAGATATATATAGAGAGAGAGAGAAAAAAGGTTTAATATATATTACAATTTATGTTTTAAAGATCAGAAATTGAGACAAGTGCATAAAACACCTTAAGGTATACTCTGCGTAGCACTTTTATCTTGAAAAAATGTGCAAAAAGCACCCCTAATCTTTTTATATTGTGCAAAAATACCCCATCTGACATAAATTAATGCTGTAATACTTGTTTTGTCCCTTTTACTCTTTCAAAAATGCCTAATATAACACACCTATATTATCAGATTAATAGCATATATACCCCATTGGACATTTTCGGAAGAGTAAAAGGGACAAAATGGGTATTACAACACTAATTTATATCAGATGGGGTATATTTGCACAATATGAAAAGATTATAGGTGTTTTTTGTACACTTTTTTAAAATAAAAGTGTTACGCAGAGTATAAATTAAGAGTGTTTTCTACACTTATCCCAATTTCTGATCTTTAAAACATAAATTGTATTTATCAGTAATTTAGTCTTGTAAAAAAAATTATAATTGGATAAAAAATTGATAGATTTAGAAATATTTTTACTTATTAATCTTTAAGAGTGAAAAACATACCTTATTTGAAAATATTTTTCAATATCAAATAGATTCGATCTTAAATTAATAATTTTAATGGTTGAAAAATCCATTATTAAGAGGATGGTGGAATTGGATAAATAATAAAGTTTGTTTTATGGCCAAATGCACAAATTCGGCCTCCAACCAAAATTTACCTAAAAGGTAAGAATATTTATAGTACCGAAAATGCCCTCAACATTTTAAAGAAGAAAATTTATATGGGTCCAATCTAAACATCGTAGGGCAATTTATCGCTCACTTCACGAGACGCATTCGCCACGCAGCAGGACAAGCAGACAGAGTCTCTTCTTTGTTTCTCCTCTTTTCCTCTTCTACAGGACGTTTTCAGGTACGCTCCTTTTCTTTTGGTCTCTTGTCCTTTATTTCCAGGGTTAGCGTTTGTAGAAAACCTAGAATTAACTATTAAGGTTTCATAAAACCAAAAATAAAAAATAATAATAATGATAATAAGCCTATATTTAGCTAGGGTTTGTGTTTCAAAACTTGACTGATTTTCTGTCTATCGGTTTTATAAGGTATTGATTGTTGAAGTCTGGTTTTGACGGTTGCTGATCCGAAGATCTAGCTGTTCGGTGAGTATTTTGATATGATTATCGTTTGATTTACTATTTTTATTTTATTTTATTTTTTATTGTCTGATGTTGATTTTGTTTAATTCATTTGATTAGGTTTAGATGTCTTTGTATTGTTATGTTGTATGCTTGTGTTGTAGATTTGTGACAATTTAATTTAGAAAAGGCTTGAATTTTGACAAGAAATTTGAGATAATTTGGTGAAGAAATTTTGGGCAGAGGTGTAAAAAATAAAAGTTTTTTTTTTTTTTTTTTGATCTGAAATAGTCTAAGAAATCTAACTCAACGATACCAATTTTAACTAAACCCAACTGAGAATCGCTGATCGGTATTGGAGCTTTTTTAGTTGAAGTGAAGGCCTTGCTTTTATTGGTTATGGTTATTGAAAAATCTAGGCCTTGCATAGTTTTAACAGAAAACTGAAAAAATTATTTTGGTTCTCCTTGGATCTATTTTTAAAAAACAGATTTCCAAAAACTGAGTTCCAATAGTTATGATTTTTAGAGAACTACAAAGGGTCGTTTTGAGAGTTTTTGAAAACACGGAGATGCTCTTTGCGAAAACACGGAGAACACCTTTTCACTTGAAAAAAACAAAGAACCGGTAACATCCTTGGACAGAAAAAAATGAAGTTGATTTGTCACGCGACCCAATTAGGTCGTACTGCGTGGATGACTCCCATGTTACTAGCACGCTTCCGACATCTATAAATAGAGCACTGAGCCCTGGCATAAGGGACGCCAAGGCCCTAGTTGGATTTGTCATTTTCTGGCTCTCATTCTTTCCCCTTCTGTCATTTCATTCCTCTTCTCGGTTGTATAATTTAGATCAGCTGTGAGAATGAGTCAGTCTTTTAGCTCTGAACTAAGTCATTTTCCCTTAACTCCTACATTTTGTTGACTCCAGATAAATATTTAGATATATATCTATATTTAATTTTGTTTGCATGATTGTGTACTAAGAAGAGAATACTAAAATGTAAGGTTTTCTATAAATTTAGAGCAGGATATATGGAGGAACAATTTTGGAGCGTTGTTTTCTTGTTGAATTCTATTAAATTAGGAAGAAATTGTGAGAAACGGGCAGCAAGGCCAAGCTTTCTTTGTGGTACCACAAGGAGACAGCAACAATGTGATGTGTAAGATGAGCATTAGCTGAATCAAGAATCTTCCATTGATTAGTGTTGATAGACGAGAAGATTATTTCAAAATGATTGCATTTGTAAAAGTGTCATAGTACGAGTCGAATACTGGATGAGAGTAAGTGTAGATGCTATTTGGTTTGGGACAAACTGTAGACTAACAGCTGGAATATATCCCTTGTGCAAACAGTTTATGCAATTGAATTGCCAAGAGTTTCTTTAATATGTCGTAATGTGTTTCCTCACTTCTTTGCTAAATCATAATTAAGAATGAATCCTATTTGTGCTTTGTTGTTCATAAATTGTGCGTGGCAGCAACTAGGCTTCTTATTTTGAACATCCTAACCTGATCATAGTTTTACTTAATAAACTAAAATGTGTTCAACAAGTTGCAATATGTGCTCGTTTTTACAAAATCAAAATCAAAATACTAAAAATGAAACTCAATTCCTATGAAGAAACTATTTTTCAAAAATACTCTAGTGAGATCCTTTTCTTATCCAGTTGGTTTCTAGAAAGTGATGTGAGCTATGCTTGTATTTTATGTTCTTGATACACAGAAGCAGGTTTCGTCGAGAGAGAGAAGCACAAGTCGATGTTCCGATTCTAATTTATTTACCTGGAAACAGTTAATGCAAGTTACGTGGATTAACATGTTTGACTTGGACACTGAAAATATTACATGAAACTAACCAATTTGCCAAAAAATTCGCAATTTGCCTGTACTAATGCAACGTTACTCTATTGGATATATATATATATATATATATATATATATATTGTCCTATTTTTGTAACCGTAGTCTGTAAGCCTTTTTCCACCTGGAAACTTCTTAATTGTTAAGTTTATTATTGTTATTGATGCAGGTAATTTGTCACTGTTTCTGCAGTTTATATATCTTGCAATGGCAGATGGTCATGAAACTGATAAGAACATTGAGATATGGAAAATCAAAAAGCTGATCAAGGCACTGGAAGCTGCTAGAGGCAATGGCACCAGCATGATCTCTCTTATTATGCCTCCACGCGATCAGATATCTCGGGTTGCAAAGATGCTGGGGGATGAGTACGGAACTGCTTCAAATATCAAAAGTAGGGTGAATCGTCAGTCCGTCCTTGGAGCAATTACATCTGCTCAGCAGAGGCTTAAGCTTTACAATAAGGTTCCGCCGAAAGGACTAGTGCTTTATACAGGAACAATTGTAACTGAAGATGGGAAAGAAAAAAAGGTTACTTTTGACTTTGAGCCCTTCAGGCCCATAAATGCCTCTCTTTATCTCTGTGACAACAAATTCCATACAGAAGCTCTGAATGAACTTCTAGAATCTGATGACAAGTTTGGTTTTATTGTTATGGATGGGAATGGGACCCTCTTTGGGACGTTAAGTGGAAACACCCGAGAGGTGCTTCACAAATTTACTGTTGATCTTCCAAAGAAACATGGAAGAGGAGGGCAATCAGCTCTGCGATTCGCTCGTCTTCGAATGGAGAAGCGCCACAACTATGTGAGGAAGACAGCTGAGCTTGCCACACAGTTTTTTATCAATCCTGCCACCAGCCAGCCTAATGTTTCAGGATTAATTCTTGCTGGGTCAGCTGATTTCAAGACAGAGCTGAGTCAGTCTGATATGTTTGACCCTCGTCTTCAGGCAAAAATACTAAATGTAGTAGATGTTTCTTACGGAGGGGAAAATGGTTTTAACCAGGCAATTGAGCTGTCCTCCGAGATACTATCCAATGTGAAGTTTATACAGGAGAAGCGCTTGATAGGGAAGTACTTTGAGGAAATCAGCCAAGATACTGGCAAATATGTTTTTGGTGTGGATGACACGCTGAAAGCTTTGGAAATGGGTGCTGTTGAGACCCTTATTGTCTGGGAAAATCTAGACATTAATAGGTATCTGCTGAAAAATAGCTCTACTGGTGAAATTGTCGTCAAACACTTTAACAAGGAGCAAGAGGGCAAACAGAGTAACTTCCGGGATCCAGCCACATCTGCCGAATTGGAGGTTCAAGAGAAAACATCACTGCTCGAGTGGTTTGCTAATGAGTACAAACGATTTGGTTGCACACTTGAGTTCGTTACCAACAAATCACAGGAAGGATCTCAGTTCTGCAGAGGTTTTGGTGGAATTGGTGGAATCCTCCGATACCAGCTTGACATGCGATCATTTGATGAGCTTTCTGATGATGGAGAAACTTATGAAGATTCTGACTAGCAATCAATCAACTGTCTCCCAACGCCGGAGTCAGGAGGGGGCAGCGAGTTCATTCCGGTGGTATCGAAGGAAATCCAGGAGATCGTGCATGACACCGCACCGGATCACCGCCCGTTGGTTCCTCTGGCGGTGCTGGAGATCCAGATGGACATAGGTAAGGCCAAGTACAGAGTGGTGTTCTCTGATCGGCCGTCAAGTGGGGAGAGCAGGTTGCCGAGTGCCACGGATACGGCGTCATTCGGTGGAGGTGGAATGCTGGAGGTGTCGCATTTGGAGTTGGGGAGGTGGCACAAGGTGAGAGAGCTTGAGGTGTCTACCAACGGTATATCTGATGAAAATGTGATTGGTGAAGGTGGTTATGTTATTATGTATCAAGGTGTATTGGCAGATAATACTCGAGTGGCTGTGAAGAATTTACTGAATAACAGGTATTGATTTGCTTAATTCACTTGCATGTTTAGTTCTGAACTACTCTTCATATATCTGTATCTATTGTAGATTTAAATTTATAGGTATACTATGTATACAAGCTATAGGATTTGAGAAAGAAATTTAGTGAATTATTGTCTTGAAAATATGAACTGCTCTTCTATTAGATGATTTATTGTAATGATTTACTGGGATTGCTTGATTCTTTGCTTTTGTTTCTTTATTTTTGCCCTTTAATGCATAACTTGCGCTCTAAAGTGACTTGATTTCTGAAAAAAAAAGCTTTTTTTTTTTTTTTTTTCTTTCAATCCATTTCTATCTGGAATCAGACATAAATTGGTACTTTAAGATTCAAATGCAGTGTTTAGTCAAATTTCAGAGCAGATTAGATTAGGAAATGATGTTGGAATGTCAAAGCTTTTATATCCAGTTGAGTAGTATTGTACTGTTCTTCGGATTTTGCTTTATGCCTTCTGTCCCTTGCTTCTTATTTCCTACATTTTGTCTTTAGTGCATTTTTAACCCTTTTTTTTTTAATTTTTTCATCCGATTTTTCCAATTTCTCTCATATTCATAAGCTCATGAGATTGATCAACTATCAGGAGTCAGGCTGATAAGGACTCTAAAGTAGAGGTGGAAGTAATTGGGAATGTAAGACACAAAAACCTTGTCAGGTTGCTAGGATACTGTGTTGAAGGGGCTTACAGGTACTAATTATAATCTTGCAATATGAAATTGAGCTCTGATTTTCTTTGAGAGCCGAAAAGCTTAAGCCAAGAAGCTTAAGCCAAGAAGCTTAACTTTCTTTTTATGTATAATTTCTTTGTTGTAGGATGCTTGTGTATGAGTATGTGGACAATGGGAATTTGGACCAACGGCTTCATGGAGATGTTGGGGAAGTAAGCCCTCCAACTTGGGATATTCAAATGAACCTTATATTGGGAACACCAAAAGGGTATCCATCTCGATCATTTAAATTTAGTTTTGTGTTTGTGATTACCAAATATTGCTTGCAGATGTAGCTCAATCTGTGTTTATGAACTTCTGTTGTTCCAGATTGGCCATTTTTCATGAAGGCCTTGAACCAAAGGTGTCTGACTCTGGGGTTGTTAAGTTCTTATGTTCTGAGAGGAGTTATGTGACAACTGGTGTGATGGGAACATTTGGGTTAGCTTCCCGTCTTAAATTGTTTGTTCTTTTCGTTGTAATAAACTAGCGATTTGTTTTTTCATGTTAATGAATGAATACAGTTGCAGAATCATTGATTTGTTCATTCAAGTGAGATAATAACTAATATACCTGTGGTTTATCTAGCTATGTTGCACCAGAATATGCTTGCACTGGTATGTTAAACAAGAAGAATGATGTTTATAGCTCTGGAATACTTGTAATGGAAAAAATTTCTGGGAGAAACCCTGTTGATTACAGTCAACCACATGGAGAGGTTTGTCTTTTAATATTTGTTGGAAGCTGTTATTTTGCCACCACTTACACTGAGTTCCTGACATAACAATAAGAAAATGATTAAATGATTGCAGGGGAATTTTGTGGATTGGTTGAAAACAATGGTAGGAAATCGAAAGTTCGTGGAAGTGGTGGATCCTAAGTTGCCGGAGATGCCTGCTTCAAAAGCGCTGAAACGAGTGCTTTTGGTTGGTCTTAGATGTGTAGATCCTTATGCACAAAAAAGGCCCAAAATGGGACATGTTATCCACATGCTTGTGGCAGATATTCCATGATGTATGCTCCATTTCTTTCTAGTTTTTCCCAATTGTTGTTTTCTCAAATTATGAAGTTGTTCGTTCAGCATAATAGAAACAGTAAAGTAGGATGATCTTTCCATTATTACTTGAAATCTCTATCCATTTATCTATTGTTTCTCTTAATTTTCAGGAACGGAGAATTGGTAGAGAACCGTTTCTTTGCCATCATGATCATAAAGAAATGGACGGATCACATGCCTTAACAAACTAGGTGGACTATGTGAATTAACGGTTTGAGTTGCTCCAAAATTTTGAAGCTGAATTACTCATATATACGTATGTTTCTTCTTATTTGCCCCCCGTGTGTTTTTCTGTACTGCCAATTCCTAGTATTTGATATTCTGCATTTGTTTTAGGCTTTTGTTTACATAGTTGGAATGGATTTGTATAATTCAAACAATCCACTTATCTTTCTTATAGAAATTATAAATCATTGATTGATATCGATTAGATTCTGTCATGGTTCCAATATCAGCATTATTCCGTGCTCCTTTTCTTTGATTTTTGGTGGTTAGGCTTTCGTAATCTTCGGTCTAACTCCATCTCCATCTATATGAGTTTTGTTACTGTGTAAAATTAATGGCAATTTTTTTGTTTGCCTTTTTTCGCGCTGGATGGTGGTGGTCAACACTAGGTAATTGTATGGGTATCTGTCGGCATCAGTGGTGTTGGGATGGCGTAGGCCCAGTAACAACTAGTAGGATTGATGCATTGTTTCATTAGCATCACTGCCAACTCGAAAATTGGTTGGTTATGTGAATTGGCATCCAGCTGATTTTGTTTTTTGTAACTGATGTGGAATACATTGTGTTACCCTTGGCCATTTTGTAGTGGTTATACCACCAAGTTGGACCTTCATCCACCCATGGTTTTGAGACTCCAAAAATAGGAGTAGATCTGACTCTGACATAGAGATAAATCCTACTGTTTGACTTTGATTTATATTGCTATGATCCTTTTGCTTGTAATCTGTATTACCTTCACAGATCTTATTTTTCTTAAAAACCTATTCACTAGATGCAGTAGCTAAAATTATTAGTGTTGTTGCATACTTGCTTAGTTGCATGTTTCTCTGGTCCTGCCAAAGAAAATTGTCAGCTGATTTGTTCAAAACAACGCTTGGGCTTAGTTCTGTCATTTTGAAGCCTTTTAAATCAACGAGCCAGCCTGAAGAGGAATAAGTTCGCCCGTGAGGCTCATCAGCATTGGTGGAATGGAAAGTTCATAAATCCTTAACAAAGGAACTCTTTCTTCCTTTGTAGAAAATGTTACACAGCAAGAACCAGAACACTTTTTGGAACCAATCCTAGTGGAATTCGGATTTAAAATTTTTAAAAAACATCTCAATATAAATAAATAAATTTTGTGTTTATGCTCGAAACACAAACTGTCAGCTTTTTCAACCAAAGAGGTAAATGTAATGTTTACATATCCACTTGACTTTTGTAATAGTTTGTCGAACACATCAAGCCATTCAAAAAAACAACCAATAAAAGGTTATGTCACATGGCACGAGAAACCTACGATGATGCGGTTGTCTACATGATTTCACCATTTCAAAATGTTTTACATTTGTGTTGGGTTGTGTATATTAAAACAGCCCTTAAAATCGTGTAAAAACACAAATTTATCCTTATTTTTTAAAATTTATTTTAGGACAAAATATCAACAAACTTAAAAAGACAAAATTGTCCATTATTAGTTTCTTTCTCATTCCAATTATTTTTGGACAAAAATATCCACATAATCCTGCCACATCATTAATAATATGGGACATATAAGTAATGGCAGACACTTAACATCCCTCAGCTTCTCTCTACCCAAGCCAGTTTGGGATTCCTGGTAGAAGTAAAACGCGGTTAAGCGTTTGGTGACATATTGAATAAAACACTTTTTATACTTGAAACACTTTTAAATTTATTTAGTAATAATGTTGCTTAAAGCACTTTTATTATTAATTTTACTATATTACCCTTACACAAAACATATACTAATTCTCTAATATTAAATATTATAAAATTTCATTGAATTCAATAATTTATAAAGATCAACTTGTATTGTTTTTTTTATTTATTATTTATTTATTATTTTTAATATCACATATTTTGTTTATGATATTGAATTTGTATTGAGTACTAAAATACAAATGAATAATTTGTATTGATGATTAATTTGTATCTGATTTGGGACCTTCAGTAATAAAATAAGCAAATTTGTAGGTGTGGATGGGTTAATTCCACACGGATAAAAGAAGAATGAAAATTTGGATTAAATAACCAGAGTTTCATATCATGGATTCGTGAATTCGGAGGATAGAATTCTTTTTGTTAGGGGGAATAATGTAATACTCCGATATTTTAAAGGATTTATTAATTAGAATTAATTACTTTTAGTTTATTTTTAAATGATTTGTTTGTTTTATATGGGATTTATTACTTTTACTTTATTATTATTTTTAATTTAACTGGGATTAATTGATTTATTTAATTTTTTAAATGATTTGTTTTATTTAATTGAGTGTTTATATTAATTGTCTTATTTTAATTAGACTATATTTTGTAATTATATTTGTTGAATTGATATAGTGTTTTGCTTTGTGGAATGTTATGATTGAATTGTTTATTTGATTTGTGTATATTTATACTTGTGTGAATTGTTTGTAATTACTAGATTTAATTTAATTATTTTATTTTAATTGAATTGGGCTTAAGAGGAGTGAGACCAATAGATGTGGTCTTCGGCTTGAAGGAAGCCTTATTAGGTTAATTAATAAGGGCCCATGGTTATAAAGATATTTAAATAATTATCTTTGCATAATTATATAATTATATGTATATAAATATAATTAATTAACAATTATTTTGGAAGAATATATATATATATATATATATATATATATATATATATATATATATATTGATGTATATATGTGTATATAATTTAATTAGTTAAGGATTGACATAGAAAGAAATATACATATATATATATTATAAAATATATGTGTTTATATATTATTTAAGTTAATTATGATTTCTTTTATTTGGTAGTCATGGTTGGAATATGATTTGGATTTTAATGTGTATAAATATACACATAAGGCTTTTAGGATTAAAAATTTTACACGTTAGAAAAATAAGAGAGGTAAAGAGAGAGGAAGAAGAGGAGCTGACAAGGCTGCAATCAATAAAGTAATAATAAGTAATATAATGATTTCTAAATTATATTTCGAATCACAGTACAAGTACAGTATTTCATTTAAGTATCTTGAATAATACTCTTGTCCTAGTCCCGCATTTTTCGTTCTACCTCTATTATTAATTTAATTCGAACTTGAACCCGAGTGTCGCAGATGTTGAATCCACTTTTCTTTTTTCTCTTTCCTCCCTTATTCTAAAAAAAAAGGAAAAAAGAGAAAAAAGGGGTTAGTCACAGATATTTGATTGTATCTCTAATTGTCGTCATTCTTTCCCATGTCAATAACTAGAATGAAAAAAAAGGGAATGTCAACGCATCCGGGAAAAAATGTTTAATCTCTATCAATAGGCCTGCTAAAGCCCCAAACCATAGAGTACTTAATACCGGCGCCACGGAGAGATATGTTTTTAGATCTCGCATTGAAAACCCTCCTTCTTTATTTTATTGTAATACATAATGGTAATACATATATGATCAGATACATATGTAGTTAATGTAACGACCCGCTCCACCACATGATATGATATTGTCCACTTTGGGCTTGAGCCCGCACGGTTTTGCTCTTGGGCTTCACCCCAAAAGGCCTCATACCAATTGGAGGTGACACACTTACATATAAGCACTTCACCTTTCCTCTACCCAGGCGATGTGGGACTGTGCACCCGTAGCTCGCCAGTGTGGTAGCCTGACAGTGCCTCTTGCACCCGCCCACGGCACACCCGCCCGCAAGGTCATCACAATCCACCCCCTTGGAGGCCCGACGTCCTCGTCGGCACACTTCCGGCTGAGTCAGGCTCTGATACCATTTGTAACAACCCACTCCACCACATGGTATGATATTGTCTGCTTTGGGCCTGAGCCTGCACGGTTTTGCTCTTGGGCTTCACCCCAAAAGGCCTCATACCAATTGGAGGTGACACACTTACATATAAGCACTTCACATTTCCTCTACCTAGGCGATGTGGGACTGTGCACCCGTAGCTCGCTAGTGTGGTAGCCTGACAGTGCCTCTCGCACTCGCCCATGGCACACCCGTCCGCAAGGTTATCACAATGGCCAAGGGGGGTGGATTGTGATGACCTTGCGGGCGGGTGTGCCGTGGGCGGGTGTGACAGACACTGTCAGGCTACCACACTGGCGAGCTACGGGTGCACAGTCCTACATCGCCTGGGTAGAGAAAAGGTGAAGTGCTTATATGTAAGTGTGTCACCTCCAATTGGTATGAGGCCTTTTGGGGTGAAACCCAAGAGCAAAATCGTGAGGGCTCAGGCTCAAAGCGGACAATATCATACCATGTGGTGGAGTGGGTTATTACAAATGGTATCAGAGCCTGACCCAGCCGGAAGTATGCCGACGAGGACGTCGGGCCTCCAAGGGAGGTGGATTGTGATGACCTTGCGGGCGGGTGTGCCGTGGGCGGGTGCGACAGACACTGTCAGGCTACCACACTGGCGAGTTACGGGTGCACAGTCCCACATCGCCTGGGCAGAGGAAAGGTGAAGTGTTTATATGTAAGTGTGTCACCTCCAATTGGTATGAGGCCTTTTGGGGTGAAGCCCAAGAGCAAAATCGTGAGGGCTCAGGCCCAAAACGGATAATATCATACCATGTGGTGGAGTGGGTTGTTACAGTTAAGGACCACTTGTAGTTGTACACGGAATCCCTAATTTAAATTGAAATGTACAATGATCCGGTAGATAATATTTTCCCTTTTAAAAAAACTAAAACCGAAAAAAAATATGTCCCTTTCTTCTTGAGCATTCCCGAAAAATATTAATTTATTTTTACTTTTTCGGTGGGTTCCATATTTCATATGTATATAAGTCTTTTACTTTTACTATTATTATATGTTATATGAAACCAAGGAGGAAATAGAAATAACGATGTGGAAAACAAGACAGAAATTCTCTACAATGACACTGTAGACCAATTGAAGGGATGTGGCGCAGCTTGGTAGCGCGTTTGTTTTGGGTACAAAATGTCACGGGTTCAAATTCTGTCATTCCTACCTATTACTTCTACTTTGAGCGGTAACGAAGGATCAATTGAGATCAATTCAAATTGGACATACATAATCTTTCATTTTTATGATACTATATAGTATATGGATACAAAATATATTGGGGTTACAAAAATCATCTTTTTATTTATAGTCTTATCTATTCTGATACGAAAGCGCTTTTAGTTCAGTTCAGTAGAACGTGGGTCTCCAAAACTCGATGTCGTAGGTTCAAATCCTACAGAGCGTGATTCCATTTTT